TCATCTAGAAACAAAGACAACAGAAGCTATAGTTGCTTTGCTCAAATTGTATTAGAATGTTTGTTAAAGACACTACTGCATGAACTTGTATGTTTGGCTACTACCAGCAGAGGGCAGTGCATTAACATTCAATGACAACAGTGTCATTGGTAATGCTTTACATGGGACACTTTGACTGTGGGCCAAGCAGCAGTATTTAAAATGCACAGCCTGATGAAAAAGATGTCAAAACTGATGCCAAACTGTGCATTAATCTTTGTTACCTGGCATGCATGTTCTACCACATGATCCGAGGCCATTCTTTGTTGTCCTGGGTGAGCTCTAATTATAAAGTGAGGGAAGAATTTGAATTATACTGTCACATAATTCAAGAACATGTGATAAGGACGCTCCTTTATAACATTACCTGTTAAGATTCACCATCTTTTTTTCCTAAGAGTGCTAATTTTTGGTCCCTGGGCTTTTGGTTATTCTTGAGATCCCACCTGCACACACAGCAGCTTGACATTGCTGTGGAGCTTAATACACAGCAGCTGTTAAAAGTCAAACCTAAAAACACTTCTGTTCACACCCTAATGTATTCCTATTTCTGTTTAGAACATTATGAAGTGTTTAAAAGTTGACTCTCAAAATCTTCAGAGCCAAAGCTTTTAGCACTCACCACACCAAAAGGAGAGTAATTATTCTACTTATTGAAATAATCAAATAATCCAAAGCATGGACAAAAGCAGTGGCTTCTGTATTTTCATAGGGAATAAAAACGAGCAGCAAAGATAAGGCAGGGGTTAACTAGGATTTAGTTAATTAAACATCAGTAAACTGTGAGAAACTGATTTAAATTGGTTGTTTATAATCACATCAAAATCATGTCCCCTGGTTGTGGAAAAGTCATTGGCTTTATCTGTATACCTAATATTACAGCTCCTATCCCTTCACCTCTCCAGGGGTCTTCTCTCTGGATTGCAAGACAGCCATGAATACCATAACAATATGGGACAATAGAATGATGATGCTGGTACAGGTATACTTGGAAAAGTAGGCTGCCACAAAATAACTACAAAAAACAGATTACACAAACGTTGCAAACACATATTTTTCACTTGGAACAGCTCAAAGTATGTCTGTAAGAACCATCATTCATGAAAAGTTACCTTTATTTCTGCCTGGCGCCTGCCAGGAAGCTGCAGGAAGGTACATGCATGGGCATGACTGCAGAGATGGTAGATATAATCCTAATTTAGGGTGTTCAATTAACACAGCAAACAAGACTGATTCACTGATGTTACACAATAGATTATAAATATCAACAAAAAGTTCCAATTAAGGTTGGCATTTTGAGGTTCCTGTGATTTGTCAAAATGAAGGACAAGCTATTTTCAAGTTATAACACTGCAAACAAATTATGGGTTAGTGGTCCTACAGTGACTGCATTTATGCTTCACTGACATTTAGGACATTTTTGGAGGTTTTTTTGGCCACATGCCTACAAGTAAAGGAAATGCTCAATAATTTGAAATCAGATTATAATCTATTTTTAATTAAAGTAAATATGCGTAGTTGAAAAATGAAAGTAGTGTATCAAAAATAGATATGTTTGCAAAATACGCTTGTTGATGTTCTTTCTGATATGAACTTTAACCTTATATCAATTTAAAGTTCTCTTAAAGGGGTCTTTGTGGTACTATATGTAGGTCTTCTCCAAACAACTGTTGGGAGCTGGAGAAGTTCCACCTTTCTCCAGCAGAGTCCGCCGTGGATCCTTGTGAGGGAACCTCCTGCACAGCTGCAGCCCATCAAGATCATCAGAGGATCCACTACTTAAGCTGTCTTCAGACCTTGCCTCAACGCCGCAGTGTTGATCCAGTTGGTCAGCGCCTAAGCCTAGACTCTCAGTGTTACTTTGTGACTTTGAATCCAGCCTGGATTCTAACCGTTGTCTCTGTCTTCCAGGAAACCAGTGTCTCCTCTGTGAAGCTCAGGAAGAGCTAACCTGCCGAGCCGACCCTCAGACCTGAAGATTCATAGAGAACTTCCATGCAGCTCAGGACTAAGAGCTGGAAAATCCTAAGCCAAGGTCTGTTCATTATAAGACGTGAGACGCTGAAGCAGCAAGCGGACTCTGCTGATCAACTCCTCTCCAGATCCAACAGTGACTCTCCCAAAGCTAACCTCAAGAACCCTCAAGGTACAATCAGTTATCTTCAAGAATTCAAGCTCCAGCTTGCAACGCAACTGAACTGTCTCTCAGGCAGACTCCGGTGAACCAGTGTCCAGGCACGAGCCAGAACCAGTACCTTCTGTGTGCTTGTGCTAAAATAAACTTGTTGAACTTTTATCCCTGTGTCCGTCAGTGGTGTTCTGCATACTTGGGTCGCTATTAGTGAACCCATCATGACAACAACCTGTCATTTCCACAGGTGGCAGCCCCACATTTAAAACATGTGAGCATAATAATCTACATTGCATAGTTGGTGTTTTAAAGTGTTTAATCAGAATGTCAGAAAACTCATATTATGATTCTTCATGAAAAGGGGTTTAAATAAAACAAATTGGAACTGATTGTTTTCGCTTTTATAGCAAGATCAAATTCTACTAATTTAGATAATAGTTTGAAATTATTGATGTTTAGTGATTGCAAATATCTAAACTTTCTCAACTTGTGTTTTACCCAGTGAAGATATTAATTTAATAAAGTATTAATGCAAAAACTTCAGTTGTGAGATTATTAAACATATCCCTGTAAACTAAATGCTTTTGTGATGATCTTCGTACTGATGACTGGCTTGATTGTTCATTCCATTCACCTTTATAGCTCCCCCCAGTTTCTCATTACCAATCATTTGTTCACTCCAGAACCATCTTCTCCACATTCAGGATCAGGCTGTTATCTTTGCACCAGCACAGATGAGGCCCACCACCGTAGTGTCTTCTGCAAAGTTCGATGTGATTGGTGGTGAACCTGGGGATGCAGTCATTTGTCATCAAAGCAAACAGCAGTGGGGTCAGGACCAGCCCTGAGGGGAGCCTGTCTTTAGGGCGATGACATCAGAAGTGTTCTATTTGATCCAGACTGATTGAGGTCTTTTTGTGAGAAAGTCTAGCAGCCAATTGCAGAGGGTTATATTGAAGCCCAGCTGTTCCAGTTTTACTATCAGATGCTGTAGGATGATGGTGTTGAAAGCAGAGCTGAAGTCCAAAAACAGAACCCGCACACGGGTGTCTTCTCCAGGTGTCCCACCTGAAAGGACTGGAGTAAAGGATTCTCTCCATCCTCTGCATGGTGACTCAGGCCAGCATGATCACCAAATCTAGGTCCATGCCCATAAAGATCACCTGCTGCGCTTGGATTAGGGCACTCCTCTGTCTGTTCACTGCTAGCCCTAGACCTTCGACGTGGGTCAGGACCCTCAACGTCACTGGATCTGCTGCTCAGGGACAGCACAAATCAGCCAGTCATCTAGATATGGCAAAATATCTACCCGACTGGCACAGAGGGCTCAAGACTGCCTTCATGCACCTCGTTAAAATCCCAGGTGCGCCGGCACCTCTCCAGCCCCTCCAGGGTCCCACAAGGTTCAGTCTAGGAATGAGCCAACAGGAGAGTGGAGGGTGAGTTCCTGATGCGTGCATGCAAGCTGCAATGTCATACTCTCACTCGCAATGCAGTGGTCCACTGGGAGAATGAGGTCCAGACCACAGTCCCCAGGGTTGTTCATAGATACCAGCGTCCACGCATCTCTACCAGGGTGGGAGTGGCACCTAGGATCTGCTCAACAATGATGAAGCTCCTCGAAGAAGGTTGGAGATGGAGAACCCTTGAATGGAGGGGCCGCTGCTCCCCAAGTGGATGGGTTAAATGCAGTTACATTTGTTCCTCTGTACTTTTGACAGTGTAATGACAACAAAAACCTGACAAAGAAGAAAGATCCCAATAAGTGAGGGATGTCAAACTGGTTCCAGAAAGGGCCGTGTGGCTGCAGGTTTGCTTTCCAACCAAGGAATAGAACACCAGACTCCAGTCATCTCGTCAAGTGAGTCCAGTCTTAACATGATGACTTGATGAGATTACTGGAGTCTGGTGTGCTATTGCTTGGTTGGAAAGAAAACCTCCAGCCACATGGCCCTCTCTGAAACCAGTTTGACACCTCTGCAATAAGTGGTCCAGCGAACTTCCCTAGGTGGAGCCTTTTAGCACCACAGGGCTCCTCCCGTTCTATGATTTGTTTGGGTTTTAGCCACCAGTGTTCACCATTCAGGAAAAGGATTCTTAAGTCCCATCGGCCCTGTTATCTGATCTTAGGTCACAACAAGACTATAAAAGGGCTAGGAGAGCAATTTGCAGTACCTAGTAAAGCCAAGGCTGCTAACCACCGGAGTGTTCTGGCACCTAAATTAATGTTAAAGGTGACCAACCGCATAAAAAAGAAGAAAGATGGTCATTAATAACTCCCGTTACCATTCAAAACAGACAATCCGAATCTCCCAAATAACAAGCAAAGTGCTGAAAACAGATTGTCTTCATTGGAACAAAATACTATAAAGATAATTTTAAGTTCATGAATGACATTATAACTTACGGAGATGTAGAAAAGGTGCCAGAACAAGAGCTGGACAACAAAACAGCATGGGACATCCCGCATCATGGAGTTTACCACCACCACAAACCTGAGAGAATATGTGTGGGCTTTGATTGTTCAAAAACAAAATGGTCAATGAAAAAAATCAAAACCAAAACACAAAGGGATCACAATAAATGCCAAATTGTCCTCTGAATATTTTTATGCATCCAAACCTAAAAAAACATATTTAGGAACACACTACAATTGTTTCATTGGAACAGGTTATTACAAAAAATTTAACATCACATAGTCATTATTCAGACCCAGGCTTAGATTATTATAATCGTCTGATCCTCATGATAAACAAAGAGGCTGTCTTGTTTATATTCCTTTTGTCATTACAGGGCTTTGACTCTGTCTGTGGCCAACGGTGGACAGTCATGGCTTATTGCATCTATTGGATTATAGAACGGATTTAAATCTAGGATTAGGCCTCTGGTTGAGAGGCGGCATGTGGGCCGTGTGACTCTATACATTACAGGGGTGTGTTGGAGAACATGTGTTGCTGTGTGACAGTGAGTTTGCTCAGACGCCATAAAGTGTAGCTTTTCTTTTTTTGGTTCTGGTGTCTCCTGCCCTGAATGTTCAACATGGACCTATTTTGCTTCACGCTGGTAAGGATACGCTTCTAAAATGACTGAAATGTTTTATGTTGGTTTGGAGACTGCTTGGCTCCCGTAACCTTAAAAGTAGCCAGTGAGCTGAGGAATTTAAAAAGTGTTGTCCAATCTGGTGGTGGTGTAAAGGGGATTCTTTAGGTTAATGATTAGCATACTTCTATTTTTGCTTTTAAATGTATCTATTCTACCAAATGATACAAAAAACAGCTAACTGGATATTTCACAATTTGACCAAATATTTCAAAAATAAACATGTTTGGAATCAGTATTTATTTGGAGATAATAGTTTAAATTGTATAATGATAATGTAATGCTAAAGAACAGCAGTTAAAACCACCAGCTATGACTAAAAAAATTACTTTTAAAATAAAGATTTAGAAGGTGATTAACTAGACTGTAAGCGCTGTGATAGGTTTAGTGTTAAACAACTGATTCCAGTTAGTTAAATATTAGAAATTATGTGTTTTAATGGCACCAATAAACAATTTTTTCTCTGTTTTGCAAATAAAGTTTGTTACTCAAATACATTTTTAAATAAGCTTAACTTACGTGATGTTAACGATGAACTGATGCCTACCAAAATGTTTCTGTCTGAGGATCTGTAGATTATGAATGTTGGCAGGACTTTGGTTTGGATACAGCAGGTATTCATGGAGATGTTTTGATAAATTAGTGTGAAGTACAGTGAAATGATAAGTAAACATTCCCTCTCCAGATACACATTTACAATTTATACCAAGCAGCTGCTTCAATTATTTAGAGCTCTGAATACCAGCGTGTGTCTTCATTGCTTTTGATATTTGTATGCATGTATTTACTGTGTGGCCATGTGTTTTGTTGTTTTCTTTAATTGTCTTTTTCTGTTCTCTTAATTCTTATCTCACCTCCTTTTCTGCCTCTGTGGTCATTGCATATGTTTTTTTTTTCCTTCCCCAAAGACACTTCTAATAAAGTTCCCTACACAATTACCAAGCAGAAGCTAAGAGAAATAGCCCTGACTTCTGAAAGCGAATATTTTGGGCTATCCAGCACCAGGACATAGATGCTCAGTTCTGTATTGATAACAGGGACACATATCAAAACAAGCAAAAAAACAATTAGAACCACAACCAGAGTGGTGAGGCCCATGCAGCTCATTTTCTCCATGCCTTTTTAACTCTTAATTCCTTAGTGGTGCAACTTTGATGAACTAAACTCCCCAAACTGGGAGCATCCATGGAGGATCTGTTGGACCCATTTGTTTGGATCTTCAAAGTACCTAAAGTACCACAACACACTCCTTAGAATCCAGATCCATCATGCTGAGGTCAAACAGACAACCAGCTGGTTGAATCAGTCACCTGTCGCGTGAATTGCTGCTGCTTTCCAGATGAATTTCTGTCACAATGTGAGGTGAACAGAAGAACCAGAGAGTGGTGACTTCTTTTTTTTCTTTTTTCTTTGCTGGATTCATGTCTGGTGTGAACACACCATTAGCCTGACATCAAACTCAATACAGATTGGGGCAGTCACATTATGGTAGCTACCATTTGTTTTGCTGTTACCAGTGACCAAGATTTCTAAATTGCTCTTTGTCAAACTCCCTATCTGAGATCAATCTGCAATGGTGAACTCTACTATGTGTCCACAACCCAACAACATATCCCCAAGTCATTAAAAAAAAAAATAAATAAAAAAATCCACCAAATTTTTAAGCGGAAAAGTAAAAGTTAGTAGTTTTGTTATTATGGTGATTAGTTCAAAAAGACGTTTAATACTTAAGGTTTCAATTTAGCTTTTAGTTGGAGTTTTTGTCATACTTTGTAAACAGTTTTTTAACCCCCTATTGTGAGTGGCGGCCTGGTTAGGGCATTGTGCTTGGAATCAAAAGGTTCTGAGTTAAAGCCCCACTCCCACAGACTGCCAGTCTAGGTCTCTGAGCAAAGACTCTTAACATCACACTGCTCCCTGAGCGCCGCACAATGGCAACCCACTGCTCCCCAAGGGAATGGATTAAATGCAGAGAGCTCTTTTCATTGCTCTCTACTTGTGACAGTGTAATGACAATAAAAGCTGAGAAGAAAAAAATTATATCTGACTGTTTTGTTTCATTAGGAGGGATCTACGGAAAGCATATATGAAGCCGTGAAAAAGCCAAATCTAAAAGAAGCCTTACCAAAGAATCAGAACAGTTGTGAGTCTCTGAGCTGCAAGGCTGAGTGGGACAGCTCTGATCCATCTGTAAGTTTTCCCTCTATTCTTTACTGCACAATAAACAGACACTAATGTTGAACTCTTAAGTAATTTTTCCAGTTTTACACAACATCGCCCATAATGGGGCTGATGTGTGATTCTGGTGCAACAACATAAAAGCCTCCTCTACACACTCAGATCTCACTGGAACAAAAGCTCCTCATGTAGGAGGAAGTTTTAAATCATATACACAATCTAACTGGTTTTAGCAGTAAATCTAAGCTTTTTTAAAATTATCTATTTTTTACTAATTCTTTGTTTCCAAGGACAAACATCAGACTGTGACCAGATCCAAAGGTGAAAACAGCAGGTATTTTATCAAGGTTTATTGACTCAGATCTATAAAAACAACTCACTATTTCTTCAATAAATAAAATCTTTATTAAATACTATTTGTCCTTTTAGATCATATCAGGCAACTCTCATGTTGGAGAATGAAACTTTTGGTACGTACAAAATATTATACCTGCATGCTGAGAATGCTATGCGGAAGCAAAATTAGTCTGATTTGTTCTGCAAACCCATATCTGACTTTATGATGAGTTCTCTGGTTAAAGTTTAACAAATTAAGACAATTAGGCCTAGCATGATCTAACTACCCCTGCTGGTAGATGTGCACTGTTATATTGAGAGAATAGACTGGTTCTCCAACGTACACTAAAGTCATTAAAACAACCCCTGACTTGAACTTTTCCATACAGCATAATTTTAGTATTTTTGTTTGATTTTAGTGTTTTTCTGATGTCAATTAAGTCTGAAAAGTTCATTTTGTTCTTTAAGGTTATTTTCTTTGATTTCAAAGGACATGGTTAATATCCACATTGTATAGATTTAGCTAGAAATCTCTGTAATCATGTAGTTTGAGATTTTCATTTTCATATGCATTGTATTGAAAAGGTTTATTATTTGTGTGTTTGATCATAACTTTAACTGAAAGCCCTTCTCTGGTTTATGAAGCTGGCAATGAGAGTGGTGTGTTAACAAGGCAAGTTCAAGAGAAGGAGACGGTCTCAGAAAGAAACAGGACGCATCTACTAACTGAGGTACACTACAGATCACATCCTATTTACACCTGTATGGAATGTTTGTTGCACATTTGAATGCCTCTTTGTCATTGTGATCAATCTACTTGAAGGATAATTATAGGCTCAGAGGTGTCAAAAGTATTAATGTTTATTACTCCAGTAGAATTATAAATCCTACTGTTTAAAAACACTTTTGTAGAAGTTAGAAGATCAACTTAACTGTTAGGTTTAAGTGGGGGGGAGTGGTGCCTTGTGGTTAGAGCAGTGCGCTTGTGCTCTGAGAAGGTTGCAAGTACCTGGTTCAATCTACACAGCCTGCACTCTGGGTCCCTGAGCAAGACCCTTAACCCCACACTGCTCCCCGGGAGCCGCATGATAGCAGCACCCTGCTCGCCAAGGGGATTGGTTAAATGCAGATTTACATATCTCCAGAGTAAGATCAATAAAGATCAATTGTTTTTTATTTATTTAATATTTTTACCCCAGTCAAAGTTCTAAAGCACCATTTTTAAAACATTTCAAGTATAAAAGTAATGCAGGAAAAAGTGTGACAGAAGCTTTACTGCACTACCCTATTAAAGGAACTTTTTTTTTTTTTTTTTACAATTCTGAGTGTTAACTTACTTAGACTTAATTAACAGCTGATAAAGAAGGCTGGCTCTATTCTAGGAACCCCTGTAGAACCTCTGGAGATGATTTCACAGAGAAGAAGGAAGATTATGGACCACAGTGACCATCCTCTTTAGGAGATTTTTAAACACCAATAAAGTCAAATCATCAGTGTCTTTGATCAAACGCTTCTCCAGATCTGATGCAAGACAGACCTCCAGAGGAGATCCTTCCTGCTTACAAGAACATAACTCCAAGAACATAACTCCATACTTGTGTAGGGAGTTTTAATAAGGAAACCTGTTTATCCCATCTCCTTGAATCACTCCTTTCGTCTCCTAATTAACTTCCGTATTCATGCTTAAAATACATTATTGACAAATTTTTCCTAAATCTAACTTATTGTTCGAAACTATTAAAATTTGTTTATTGTGAAATTAACTATTTTCAACGCCTTCTTTAAAATAATCTACCTACTTATTGTCTCGCTTTATAGTCTAGACTGCTAGAAGATGTATTTTACGGCTTTCATTTCATCTTTGTCATTACCATGAAAATCTGGAGAGATTGTTCAGCTGGCACCTTATGCTCTTTTATTCCTTATGCTCTGTTTTAATGTATTTGCTACTAGTTTTAACGCTGTTTCATCTCACATTCTCCCTATAACTCTTTGCACTTTTCTTATGGTCATCCTTCAAAACCTTTTTTTCCAATCTTTACCTTAGTTTTTATCCTTCTTATCATTCCCATTCCTTTTTAAAATCCCTTCAGTTAAAGGTTAACAGTCCAGTCCTGTCTGCGGGATAATGTGGTTCCTCTAAACTTCTAGCCTCATATTGCCACAACAAGGCTACTGTGCTGGCAGATTAGATCCTCTTAAGGGTTGAAGAAAGGCAGCTGATTTGATATATGCCTTTTAAGGTGTTTCCGGATATTTTGGGCCGATTTCTGAGCACTCAGAGATGAATTTGTAATTCCATTGGAGCCATTCTCATTCCACTTATTGCCCTCATGTTTTAAGAGCTGCTGCCACTTATTCTTCTTTTCTTTAAAACTCAAATTCTCTCTTTTCTTGCAACAGTTCCTCACCATTCCCCTTTTAATTCATTGTTTTGACTTTGGGTTTCCCCACCCGATTGCTCTTCTATTGTTCATACTTTATCCTCCCAAATTCTCCAATTGTGCTAATTTTTAACTCACCAACCTCCTCTATATATATATGAATTCACTTTTATTCAAATGATCCTCTTTTTACATCTTTGATTTCAGCATATTTTCTTTATTACACTTTACAATCTTTTTCTATTGAATTTATCATCCTTTTTGTTTTAGCATCACTTCTGATCTAATTAATTTCCCTCTTTAGAAAGTATTCCTCTCCTTCACCATTTTCATTCCTGATTGTCTTCCTCCTACCTTACAGCACTGTTTATCCCACCCATCCTCATTATCCTTTTCCTCAATTTTTAAAAGTTGAAATAAGCTGAAATGAACCATATTAAAACCATGTTCATTATTTTATTTATAGTTGTGACATTTTGAATGAATGCATTGTTTCTGTGTTTAGCATTCCGACCTTTTAACAGACTCCGATGAGAGCAGCCAGACCGTAGGAAGATTAAAAAAGCTGCAGAAACTGGTACCCTTAAAGACCAGCCCTCAGAATGATGGTGATAATGATGGAAGCACAGCTAAGAAACACGGTGAGATATTTTAAGTTGTTCTGTCAGTTCAGTGATCTGTGTGGAATAAGGGAATAAAATAAATAGTCTCTGCTCATGTCTAGATTGCTTGGTGGAGGGGATAAGACGCAACAGCATAGCGCTTACATGCATCAGCCTCTCAGGAAGGACAGAGAAGAGCTCATATAAAGCTGCTGCAGCATCAGAGCCACTTCAGCTACCAGAGAACACCAGGAGTTCCCATGAAGATCCAATAGAGGGAGAGTTCTGGATCCCTAAGATTGGACATTATACATGGAAGCCTTTTGAGCGTCCAGAGGCCTGGCCTCCATGCCAACACATTTGCCAGCAAAATCCAGATGGATTGTGCGTCCACGATGGCAACAGCTCCTTCCTATCCTGGAACTCGGATTGGGATCGTTTTGAGAGTCTGATCCAGGAACTGGACCGCAGACAGTCGGATCTGTCTCTGTCACAGATGGTCCGCCCCCCTGCAGATCTGCAGCCCTTAAAAATCCCAGTAAGATCTACAACCACATCTTCTAATTGAACGTTATGTATATTTTTACTATTAACTCTTTACTGTGATGTGTAAAATCAGTATTTATGTATGCTTTAAATGAAAATTCTTTTTTAATGACAGAGATTTCCTGAAATCATTGATGAGCTTTTAGAAACAGGAAACAGTTGGAAACATCACCAATAATGTTTTCACTAATTAAAGTAGATTAGAGAGCAACAATGCCATGCAGTAGTTTACAGCACTGCTGCCTTGCAAAAGGTCAAGGGTTCGATAAGTTATCAGTGTGAGTGTGTGGTTGTGTCTGTGTTGCCCTGTGATGGATGGAAAGGAGACCTGTTTGCAGCAGGACCAGCAGATTATGCAACAGCTTTTCCCCCGCTGCCATAAGACTGTTAAACTGTTAAAAACTCTAATAAGTCAAAAATTGAGACTCTGCATCACACTGATAACATCATAATTGTACTACATGGTGAAACTTCAATATGTTTCTGCTGCATTTTTGCACCATATATTTTTATGGTGCAAAAAAGCACCTTCCACATCAATGTCTTTTTGCACAATGTGTCTCCCACACTGTTAATACCGCTGCACTTTATAAATGAAAATGTTAATTTTTCACCGCTAAACTGCTCATTCACTATCGAAAGGCTGAAAACAAATGTTTTGTTGTTTAGACTCTGTTTACAAAATGACAAAAAAGTTTGTCTAACTCTAATTCTAAGAGTCGTTGAACTGGGTAGACACGCGTCAGTGAGCTGTTTCCATTGCCTCTAAAAGCGCATTGTTCTCAGGTGGTACATTGTTTTTCCCCTAGTGGGAAATGGGTGAAGGTGTCAGTCGCTAAGAGGATAATCCTCGTTGTTTAAATTCTGGATAAATTTACAAGTTATTGTGTAAATTAATATAGTTATATAATCTGGTGACAGTTTATTTAAACTCCTGAAGTCTCATATGCACAAAATGTGGCCTGAAATGTACGGTGCTAAACATAAATGTTGAGTATAATCCAAAGACCAATGCATCCATTTTGTTGCATTCGTTAAAACTCAGAGAAACCACCGAATATATTGCTGAAAACAAACAGCTTAACTTTTCAGGAAGTTCTTAGTCAGTACAGTACAAACGACGCATTCCAGAGCCAAACAGATTTCGAATTTGTAATCTGTTTTCATTTGAGCCGAATGTTTTCCAGTGATAAATCTCCCAAGCAGGAACAATTGTTTGGGTTATAGAGGGATTAAAATATGCATATAGCAGTGGCAGATGGGCATGTTTGCATGCTTAGGAGAATACTGTGGAAAAACAGCTTCTGGATCTGTCTGACTTTCTTCTAGAATTAGGTTAAGCCCTTTTACACATGAAACTATAGATTGGACAATGTACTGTTTATGTAGTCCTGTGGCGGGGGGGATGTGATGGTGGAGAGGAGGGGGCTAAACATGTGTACTGATCTTCAAAATTATCTTGATTCATATCCTTTGAAAGCATGGGTCTCATTTATTAAACACTGCATAGGATCTATACTAATAGCCTGAAGTGAAAAACAAATCTTGATTTATGAAGCCTGCCGCACAAAACTAAGCATTTTATAAAACCCAGCTTTACCTCAAGGTTGCGTTCAAGGCGCTACCTCATGTGCAGCCAGGCCCGCTGGAAGTATCTTTGAACAGGACATTTTTATGGAAATTTTTGTTTTTTCTTTTTTGGGGCAAAAGATCTATGAACCTATAGGCCTACTTAAAATACAATAACCAGTGTCAACACTATTTCAGACATTTTGAATAAAAAAAAAAGGTCTTTAAACTTGGAAATAAAGTCCAGTGGATTTTTTTTTTTTTTTTACGTTTTTGGAATAACCAGGGTCTGTAACACACAGACATCATCAGTTCTCAGGTTAATATATGCGCTATTAATTAAACTTCAAAATAACACTAGATCAACTGGGGCTGCAACTAACGATCATTTTGTAAATTGATAAATCTGTTGATTATCTTTTCAAGTACTCGATTAATAATCGGATATCAAAAAGTTCCTTAAAGAAGAATTTTACTAAATTAAACCAAGAGGAACTAAAACTTTTCCACTTGAGGAGTTCTGGACAGAGCATATTTGTCACGGTCGGGTTGAGGTTTGGAGGACCCAAATGCAGAGACAGAGAGGCAGAGGTGAATTTTGCAGATTTAATGGAGCAACTGAGGAAAAATACAAAAATACAAAGAACCCAAAAAACCAAAATCACCAGGGAAAACTCATGTAGGAAGCCAGAGACAAGGGAGACAACACAACACAACAAACCAGCACTGAGTGACTGCAGAGGTGAGGTAAATATTGGGAGACTGAACCTAGACAAGCTAATCAGCAGATATGAAGCAGGTGTGCGTGGACTAACAAGAAGGGACCAACGGAAAAGGAAACGAACACAAGAGGGCAACAGAGAGCAACACCGGAACTAAAGAACTCAGCACTGGTAGAACTACAAAGACACAGAACACAAAGGAACTAAAAATAAACCCAAGCAGAGGGCGGAACACTGACAAATTGCCAGACAATAATGCTTTTTTTTTTTTATCTTAAATGCAAAATGTTTATGCATCTGTTTTACAATTTTGGTTTAATTGCTGCTGAAAGGTTGTTGATCTGTGACCTAGAGCCTATTTTACAGTCTCTAAACTACAGTTAATAATAAATCGATTGCTAAATTAGTTGACAATTATTACAATAATAGCTTTATTCATGAAGAAGAATGTGTGAACTTGTGTTGATTAGGCCTTAAAATAATGAAATAAAAATCCAAATACATGCAAAAGTGAAATAAAAAAAAGTCAAAATCATTTCCGGAAGTATATTTTAATAAAAGTATTTGTAATACATTTTTTTAAATCTCCCTCTTGCCACTAGTTGGTGCTGCAGCACCCCCACTTCCTACGGCCATGTGTGTAGCCCTCCACATGCAACCTTAAGTTGTACATGTAAAGCATCACATGAATCACTCATGAATTTAAAATGACATAGCTGATCATCGTTATTTCATGGTTACCATAGGCAACTAGAGGAAAGGACGCAAATAAAGTTGGTTTAAACCTGCTTTGTTGTTTACAGGAGAAGGAGACTGGACTAAAGTCGGAGGGGAGGGAGATGGAGACCTCAAAAGAAAGTGACCCAAATTACATCAACATCTCACCAGAGAAAACACAAGCAGCTCAAAATGTAAGTTATGCTTGAAACAAGGAGATAATTCTACCCACAGCTGTAAGCACAACACCTGCAATGCCAGACTCCAACTATCAACCAGGCTGTGTATCACACCAAGCTAACATATCTATGCTTATAGCTGTTGAATGTAAGGGATTGATAGAAATGGGTTTAATTGATGTGAATAACACTATATTCTAGAGGATGCACAAACAGACATCCCAAGTTCCAAAAACTCATTTGAGTGACATGCTGATCTCCCTGCTTTAAGTTTTTACCTGTTTGCTGATTTATACAAGCAGAAAAGATGATTAACACAACCAACTTTCTATCAGACCCACTGTAAGGATTTACAGTTTTATAAATGACACATGTAAATAAAGTAATAGTGTCGCTCCAAATGGAGGCTGGGTGCATTATTGAGGGGATGTGGTGTGGCCACATGAATTTAGGTAAACTGAGGATGAAGAGGGGTGACTCTAGGTTTGTTTATCTACCCATTGAATAAGAAAAGCTTTATTTCCAATTAGTCTTTTACACGTAGAGTATGAGGAATTTGCTTTGCTGATAAGGTAATACACATAAACGGACATACAGCCGACAAAAATACATGTAAAAGTATATGATGTGGATTTAAAGATGATTAACAATTCATCTGCTGCCTCTGACAGATCGCCATGGTGTGCTTTGAAGGTGTTAAACAATTGTCTTGCATGAGCTTGTTAAAGGTTAGAGCCACCAGATTTAAAGGAGAAGTCCGGTCAGCAAGGAATAATCAATAGATCATGATCTGTACCTAAAACTAATTTAGCCTTAATCAGTAAAAAAATCAAAATAAAAAATGTTATCGTGTTCACTGATTGCAGGACCAGCCATTTATGCCCAAATATAGTAACACCTCACTCCTGACATCTTCCGGCAGTAACGTCATGGTGCGGTACGCCTAGCACCATTCTCCCCGCTTTACAAGCAAAATCAATGGCAACTACTAGACATGCTTTAATCAACAACAAATATTTAAGATTTCCAGAGGACTTTACCATTGAAATTTGTGAGAGCTATAGTTAAACTGACAATGCCCACATTCATGGCAGTTGGATGTTGTAATACATCAGGTAAAAGTGAAAAAGAAAAAGAAGTTATTTCACCTTTCCAAATCATTATGCTCCAAGGACGGGTTTGTCATTGGATTGTAAAATTGAAGAGGGAAGATTTGCCATTGAACTTCTGGCAGGAGAAAAAACACATAATATAGAGCCAACATTTCAAAGAAGAATGTTTTCCAGATGACTTTGATAATAGCGCGTTGTGAAAAACACCAGATACAGCACTGGGACTTCCTCAACAGCTGATACCGCATCATGACATCAAAAACCGGGAGGTGGCAGTGGTGTTCTTTGACAAACATGGGTGTCTCCAGTAAAGCACATTCAAATAAAAAGAAAACTCTTAATTGAAAATATTTATCACTTATTGAACAGTATATAATAATTTCATATTTAAAGTACTTTCAAAAGTTTGAATTCTGAAAATGACCGGACTTCTCCTTTAAGGCACCAATGTGCAACTGTTACAGACCTTAAACAAATGCAGATGTTCCTGATTATGATTCACTCACTGCAGTAAGCAAGATGCTTGAAGCAACTCCAGTTGCTCCTATTTTTTGCCTAATGAAGCAAATATACAATAATTCTTTCACTGACACACCACTAATGCTTTTATCTCTGGATGAATATTAAATTTTAGGTAAAACAAGATATGCCCAGTGGAGTAGCATTAAAAAAATTGTCTCCATGCATTGAAGCCTTTCATCCTAACACAGCAGGACTCATCATAAGAAAGACTTTATAGATAGGCTTAGCTTCTCCTCCTGTATGTTCGCAGGGTTTTTAGCTGCTGCAGAATTATTGGCACATTGAATAAAGTCCTCTATCACTTCTTCTAAGTGAATATCATCCCATACTGTACAGTTTGGGGCTTGCAGGGAAGGTAACGCTGAGCTGTAGTCAGGGATTACACCCTGAATAAACCACCTTGGTGTTGACTATAAAAAGCAAGGCAATGTTCACAGGATTAGGTGTATTGCTTCCCAGAGAGGCCCCGTGTCTCAGCAAAGGGCTGAATTTAAACCGCCCTGTCACACCAGACATTAAACTGTACCTTGGTGCCTGACTCAGCTTATCTGCTTGCTTTCTCCTAACTTTATATTTAGTTAGCTAGTTAGTTAGAAGTTTCATCAAATATATTAGAAGGCAAGTGATAATATTTCCTTTCAATATGTAGAGCAATGAAGCGGTAAAGAGGGAAGCAGACCACAGGAGGACATGTACTAAAGGACACAGACAATCCAGAAACTCAATAGAAAGTCTCTACAGCCTCAAGAGTGGACAAAGCTCCTCCAGTAAGTTTGCACAGCACAAACCAATAACGTATGGTATTTCTGTCTTCTACTACCAGATTGAACATATACCGTAAATCCTCTAATATAGGACAGGGCCTTTATTTCCCTCAGGTACATCTTGGTCCAGGCCATTATTGAAGGAGGCCAGAATTAGAAACAGGCTTCTATTTCTATTTGATCAAAACAGACTACCAGTGGAATGAATAAAAACAAGATTTTGTACAGTTACCATAACAGTATACAGAACATTATTCAGACATCTTCCAGCAGCTACAATTTTATTGCACAGCAATACGAAGGAAAAAAAAGACAAGGAATCTTGGCAAAACTAACTTGCGAAACAAAGTTTTTAAAAAAATTAATGGAAACTGTTCTGCCATCACAGTGAAATTTTATTCGAGGCAGGCTAAGTGGAAGTAGGCTACCAGTATCATATATTTCAAGGGAAGTACAGAACAAAGAGGGCCAATGAAATTCTGTCATTTTAACGCTGCCTGGTTACCACCAGACCTGCCGGTAATCACATTTGTCTTTCAGATTGAAGCGATTGTGTAAGGCCACTAATGGCATTGCCCCCCTGTACTACTTGTATCACAAGTTGTTGAGAACTGCCCAGGAAAATCGTTGTTTCTAATTATGTATACGAAGTCTGTATATTTTATTGTGCTCTGTACATCAGGTGGAGTCACCAGTGGGTCAAACTGCTCCAGCAACAGAGATAGTCTGAGGCTGGAGGATGAGCCAACCTTCACAGGACAGTTCTGCTGCCAAGCAAGAGTCCATACAGAGTTTGTGCCAAGTCCATATGACACAGAATCCCTCACACTCAAGGTATTCAACTTCTCAGATAAAAAAAAAATAAAATATATATATATATATATACACTATATTGCCAAAAGTATTTGCTCACCCATCCAAATTATTGGAATCAGGTGTTCCAATCACTTCCATGGCCACAGGTGTATAAATTCAAGCACCTAGGCATGCAGACTGTTTTTACAAACATTTGTGAAAGAATGGGTCGCTCTCAGGAGCTCAGTGAATTCCAGCGTGGAACTGTGATAGGATGCCACCTGTGCAACAAATCCAGTCGTGAAATTTCCTCGCTCCTAAATATTCCACAGTCAACTGTCAGCTGTATTATAAGAAAATGGAAGTGTTTGGGAACGAGAGCAACTCAGCCACGAAGTGGTAGGCCACGTAAACTGACGGAGCGGGGTCAGCGGATGCTGACGCGCATAGTGCGAAGAGGTCGCCAACTTTCTGCAGAGTCAATCACTACAGACCTCCAAACTTCATGTGGCCTTCAGATTAGCTCAAGAACAGTGCGCAGAGAGCTTCATGGAATGGGTTTCCATGGTCGAGCAGCTGCATCCAAGCCATACATCACCAAGTGCAATGCAAAGCGTCGGATGCGGTGGTGTAAAGCACGCCGCCACTGGACTCTAGAGCAGTGGAGACGCGTTCTCTGGAGTGACGAATCGCGCTTCTCCATCTGGCAATCTGATGGACGGGTCTGGGTTTGGCGGTTGCCAGGAGAACGGTACTTGTCTGACTGCATTGTGCCAAGTGTAAAGTTTGGTGGAGGGGGGATTATGGTGTGGGGTTGTTTTTCAGGAGCTGGGCTTGGCCCCTTAGTTCCAGTGAAAGGAACTCTGAATGCTTCAGCATACCAAGACATTTTGGACAATTCCATGCTCCCAACTTTGTGGGAACAGTTTGGAGCTGGCCCCTTCCTCTTCCAACATGACTGTGCACCAGTGCACAAAGCAAGGTCCATAAAGACATGGATGACAGAGTCTGGTGTGGATGAACTTGACTGGCCTGCACAGAGTCCTGACCTCAACCCGATAGAACACCTTTGGGATGAATTAGAGCGGAGACTGAGAGCCAGGCCTTCTCGTCCAACATCAGTGTGCGACCTCACAAATGCGCTTCTGGAAGAATGGTCAAAAATTCCCATAAACACACTCCTAAACCTTGTGGACAGCCTTCCCAGAAGAGTTGAAGCTGTTCTAGCTGCAAAGGGTGGACCGACGTCATATTGAACCCTATGGATTAGGAACGGGATGTCACTTAAGCTCATATGTGAGTCAAGGCAGGTGAGCAAATACTTTTGGCAATATAGTGTATATATATATATATATCAAGCAATAATATACATATATATTTCAAGCAACTGGATAGCTCGGTAGGTAACACCGACGACTCCGGCACAGGTGACCGGAGTGACCGCATGAGTGAAACCGCAAATACAAGAGCCATACCGGCTCGGACGTCGCCCGGGTTAACAAGGTCCGCGTCCAAGCGGCAGGTATGAAGAGCTGGACAGCAGCTGAAAAAACTAACCGCACTTCATGCACGCCTCGCAGCACAAATGAACCAACTGCTGGTGGATGGGACCCACCCACAATGGTTAACCCAAGGACGGACAATCCTGATCATGAAGGATCCGCAGAAGGGAACAACCCCATCCAACTACCGGCCAATAACTTGCCTATGTACAACATGGCTCAATACATGCACCCTTCCCAGAAGGGAATAGGCAGCAACACCAGAGGACTGGAAGCCAATGCAAAGCCAATAGCACAAATCACCATCAAGTGCGGCATATGCACTAACCCCCTCAGCCAGATACCAATTCCGAAGCGGAACAATCATCAGTCACCTCCTCTACAGGAGTGAGCGAGACATCGACTCACTGATCCACACTACCAGGATCTACAGCAACGACATTGGGATGTCATTCGGACTGGACAAGTGCGGTTGCATGGTCAGGGTTGGACTACCAGAAGGCCTCATAACAGATGTTCAGGACAGCTACAAATACCTTGGGGTGCCACAGGCTAACGGAAACCACGAGATGGCCCCCAAAGACAAATGGCTCGGTGAGTACCTCGGGCAGGAGAAAACCGAAAGTGAGGAAGGAGAACCATCATGGAGGGACAAGCCGCTGCACGGCGTATACCACAGACAAATAGAAGAAGTGGCTGATATCAAAAAATCCTACCAGTGGCTGGAAAAGGCTGGACTGAAGGACAGCACAGAGGCACTAATCATGGCAGCACAAGAACAGGCACTCAGTACAAGATCAATAGAGGCCAGGGTCTACCACACCAGGCAGGACCCCCGATGCAGACTGTGCAAAGATGCCTCTGAAACAATACAGCACATAACAGCAGGGTGTAAAATGCAGGCAGGAAGTGCATACATGGAATGCCACAACCAGGTAGCTGTCATAGTGTACAGGAACATCTGCCATGAGTATGGGCTGGAAGTCCCAAGGTCAAAATGGAAGACACCTCCTAAGGTAGTTGAGAATGACCGAGCTAAGATCCTATGGGACTTCAAGATCCAGACTGACAAACAGGTGATGGCTAACCAACCAGACATCGTGTTGATCGACAAACAGCAGAGGAAGGCAGTAGTGATAGATGTGGCAATTCCAAGCGACAGCAACATCAAGAAGAAAGAACACGAGAAGCTTGAGAAATACCAAGGACTGAAAGAGGAGCTAGAAAAGATGTGGAAAGTGAGAGCAGCAGTGGTGCCAGTGGTAATTGGAGCACTGGGGGCTGTGACCCCCAAACTGGGAGAGTGGCTACAGCAGATTCCAGGTAAAACATCAGAGGTCTCTGTCCAGAAGAGCGCAGTCCTAGGAACAGCTAAGATACTGCCCAGAACCCTCAAACTCCCAGGCCTCTGGTAGAGGACCCGAGCTTGAGGATGACACATACCACCCCACGAGGGGTGAGAAAACAGTTTTATATATATATATATATATATATATATATATATATATATATATATATATATATATATATATATATATATATATATATATATATATATATATATATATATATATTAATGCTGTGCTATTATCTGCGTTGAAATGGTGCTTAACACCAGACTCTTATCGGGCGATAAAAAAAATATTGCCGTTAATCTATTCTCACAGTCCGTTAAAGATCTGCCACGGATGTATATCTGGCGGCAAGAACGAATCAGTGTTGTGTGTAGGCCTACTGTTAACGCAGTGAAATACTAACCTGGATGCAGCTATAAAGCCGCCAGGTTTATAGGTATCACACACATATCAAAATTGATTTTTTTATGTAAATTGTCATCTTCTGCCAGATGACAAAAAGTGAAGCCATGACTAAAGAAGACGGAGGGTAAGTCTTCCCTTACACGAGTCAATAAAGGCAAGACCAGCATCAGTTAGCTAAGGTTCATGTAGACTGACTGGTGTTTCTGTTCGTGAACCAGCCTTTTTAAAAGCGCATCCAGAAACAAATCAGTCAGTGTCAACTTCATACCGTAGGAAGCTGAAAAAGCCATCAGACTTTTGGTAGATAGCTTGGATGCAAAGTAATTTTTATGTATTTAAACTTGTGAGTCTGAAAATTTTAATTGGATATTCTTACAAAAATATCTTACTTTGGAATTTAGTAAACAGAAAGAATTTTGCCACTCAGTCAATCAATCAGACAGCAGGCGAAAATCTCCTTTATACACCGAGTATGTAAATGCCTAACTTCAAATGTAACTATGTATACAGCTGCTCTTTGAGGCATGTTTGGGAATTTTTTATAAACCTGTATAGAAACTATCTTACTGATGCATGTCTGTTTGCAGGTAGGAGATGTAATTGATGTCATTGCCAAGCCCCCCATTGGAATATGGACCGGCTCACTGAACGGCCGGATAGGAAACTTTAAGTTTATTTATGTGGACGTGCTGACACACAGCTCTGGCCCAAACCTGCACAAAGTGGGACAGAAATCAATGGTACAGGAAGTTTTAGAGGTACAGTTCCTACTTTTTTTATCCACCTTTTTTATTGATTTCAGTGTAGGATCCCCATCATGTCCTAAACAGGGATTTTTGCTTCATCAGGAATCCTCCTCCGCCCTGCAGCTGAGTGGCTATCAGACAGTAGATGACCTGATGACGCGGAGGGAGAGCAGCCTGATGCAGCTGAATGTCACTGATCCAGGAGAGAGAGAACGGCTGATTGCTGCTGTTAGCTCCCTGCAGCAACTCCACTGTAAGTGATGGACGTTTCAGAAACAAATCTATTCAGGATCTTTTAGAAACATTTATAAATGTAAACAATCTGAGGCCAAACTTAAGGGCATGGAGGTTTTAGAAAGGGAATGGTGACAAATGACATTAAAGCTTAAGTAGATGTGATTAGGAAGATATCCGGTGCAAAGCTAAACAGGTTAAAGTTAACAGGATAACCTCAAAGAGCATTTCTGAGAATAGAGCAGGACAAATGAGTGCAGAAGCTAAAGGCTGATAGGCTCCTCCCCAATCATAGCAGGGGTAGCAGTTACCTACTCACCTCAGTGGTTACACATGCAATACAACCAGGCTTGACTCTCTATTTCACAGCCGACTGTCTTCTGGAGAACGAAGCCCGTCCGGCGCCAGAAACGTCCAGTGAAGACAAGACTGGAGATATAAACAATCCCAGAGACTCTGGTTGCCTCATGGCAGAGGATAGCGAACCTCACTCTCTCTCTGAATGCGCTGCACCGTCAGAAATAAAAGTATCTTGAAGAGGTTCTTTTGCAAATAATCATAATGCTGGAGAATTTAAAGCAATTTTTATGTGTGAGATCTTTCACATGATCTGTAAAATGATTTATCTGTAATTATGATTTAATGAATAAAAGTTGTCCTCCCTGAAATCAGCGCTTCTGTAGTGATTTTTAGGCAGACTTTTATCTGCTATTTTCTATCTGAAATATTCAGTATTAAAGGCAAACAGTATAACAGGCATGTGTTTAGCTTGCCCAGACAAAATAGAAATCTAATATGAAAGAATACCAAATCAACCACAAAGAACAGGTGTTTTTTTTTATTGTTTTTCTAGTTATTTAGTTTTTTATACACTTGGTGTGTTTATAGTGACAATAAAGTTTCACATAGCACCGCTTTTCACTAGAGTCTGACAATCCAGTTTGGTGATGTGAGGAGGAGGTGTGATATTAAATAAAATTTTGGGATTGAATCTCAATTTGAATGGAGAAAACCAACATGTTTGGGGGTAAAAAACTGCTGTGTGAAACAAAAGAATCATACTATCCACTATTATCTTTGTTCCGAGAAGCCAAGGTCCCCAAAGAACTTAATGATTTTAGACCCGTCGCCCTGACCTCTGTGGTTATTCAATTCAATTCAGTTTATTTATATAGCGCCATTCACAATACATGCCATGGTTATGAAGTCCTTTGAGCACCTTCTGCTTTCACACCTGAAACAGTTCACTGACCCCTTCCTAGACCCCTTACAGTTTGCCTACAGACCCAACAGGTTTGCAGACAACACTGTCACTACATCCTCCAGCACCTGGATTCTGCAGGTACCTACACCAGGATCTTGTTTGTGAATTTCAGCTCTGCTTTTAATGCAATCATCCCAAGTCTGCTTCAGGAGAAGCTCTCCCAGCTGAGTGTGCCTTACTCCACCTGCAGGTGCATTATAGACTTCCTGTCTAAAAGGAAGCAATGTGTGAAGCTGGGAAAACATGTCTCCGACTCACAGCTTTCTCCTCTGCTCTTCTCCCTGTACACCAACAGCTGCACCTCCAGTAATCAGTCTGTCAAGCTTCTGAAATTTGTGGACAACACCACTCTCATTGGACTAATCTCTGATGAAGACAAGTCTGCCTACAGGTGGGAGGTTGACCATCTGGTGACCTGGTGCAGGGAAAACAATCTAGAGCTCAATGCTCTAAAAACAGTGGAGATGATTGTGGACTTCAGGAAGAGCCCAGTCCCAGCTACTGTATCCCCATCATCCTCTGTGACTCTACATTTGACACTGTGGAGTCTTTCCACTTCCTGGGATCTATCATCTCACAGGTGACGTACTGGTTGAGCGTAGTGAGTGTGAAAGGGGGGTAGACTGGATTGAAGTCTCTGGTGAGCACAAGAGCATGAGGGTGCTTTGTCTGCAGCCTGGATCCGCTCGCAAGCAGCAATGAGGTCTGTAGAGAGGGGGATGTGTACACACAGTACGATCACGTTCCCAAACTGTGGAAGATAGTACAGTCACCCACTGCGAGTAGCTACACCTCCAGGGAGCATATTAGTTCCTTCACATGGACATGAGGAGCATTACACCATCTCTCACTCACAAACATCGCCAGCTCTGCTCTTTTTTTCCCCCGCCAAATTCCTTTCCGTGTGGATGAGTTTAAAGTTGTCCAGGGAAACCACTAAGACAGGACAAATCCATCTAACCACGTCTTAGTGAAGCACATGATACTAGTGTCCCTGTACCTTCTCTGAAAACAGGTTAATGCTGCAAGCTCCTCAGTCTTGTTGCGGAGAGATCTTACCCATGACAACCGATGGTAAATAACTTTTCCTCCGCTTCATCCTCCCACCCCTGCTGCCTCTGTTTTCTCCTTATTTCTGCAGGGATTTGTAATCTCATAGCATGGTGGGGAACAGGGCTGCTGTACATAGAGTCATGTAGTCCAAGGAGCTGGTCTCTTGTATAAACAATATGGCGTTCGGAGTCGTGGACAATGGGGTCCCACATTGCAGCATCAAAATTGCCGAAAGTAGGAGAAAGCTCAGCACTACAGTCCCAAGTTGGCTTACTCTGTGTGCATACATTCAGAATATCAGATGCGGTATTCACTAATAGAAAAACATTCCAAAAAACACAAAAAATAGAGAGCGCAGAGCCAAAGTAACAGGCTGGTGCATGCGCAGCACCATCTTTGACTTGCAAATATTTTGCAACTAAGTTAACAAAACTTCTTTTAGATTTCAAGTAAGGTTATTTATGTGAGTCTGGTTCAAAACAGCCTTATAGAGACAACTTAATCAACCATCCAGTTAGATTAGTTAAAATGCTATATATGAGCAAAACTGATTACCTCCAGTCATTGACTTTGAAGGATTTGGAGGCTCTATTATGTCGTTGACTCTACAGCAATCTCTCACAAACAGTTTAGCGGACGAGATCTGAGCCAGTTTTAATGCCAAAAGGATGAAAGAGAGCATACAGGTGCTGGTCATAAAATTAGAATATCATGAAAAAGTAGATTGATTTCAGTAATTCCATTTAAAAAGTGAAACTTGTATATTATATTCATACATTACATACAAACTCATATATTTCAGATGTTTATTTTGTTTAATTTTGATGATTACAATTGACAACAAATGAAAATCTCAAATTCATCATATCAGAAAATTAGAATATTGTGAAAAGGTTCAAAATTGATGGCCCCTGGTGCCACACTCTAATCAGCTAATTAACTCAAACCACCTGCAAAAGCCTTTAAATGGTCTTTCAGTCTAGTTCTATAGGCTACACAATCATGGGGAAGACTGCTGACTTGACAGTTGTCCAAAAGACGACCATCGACACCTTGCACAAGGAGGGCAAGACACAAAAGGTCATCGCTAAAGAGGCTGGCTGTTCACAGAGCTCAGTGTCCAAGCACATTAATAGAGAGGCGAAGGGAAGGAAAAGATGTGGTCGAAAAAAGTGTACAAGCAAGAGAGATAACCGCACCCTGGAGAGGATTGTGAAACAAAACCCATTCAAAAATGTGGGGGAGATTCACAAAGAGTGGACTGCAGCTGGAGTGAGTGCTTCAAGAACCACCACACACAGACGTATGAAAGACATGGGTTTCTGCTGTCGCATTCCTTGTGTCAAGCCACTCTTGAACCACAGACAGCGTCAGAAGCGTCTTGCCTGGGCTAAAGAGAAACAGGACTGGACTGCTGGTGAGTGGTCCAAAGTTATGTTCTCTGATGAAAGTAAATTTTGCATTTCCTTTGGAAATCAAGGTCCCAGAGTCTGGAGGAAAAGAAGAGAGGCACTTCATCCACGTTGCTTGAAGTCCAGTGTAAAGTTTCCACAGTCAGTGATGGTTTAGGGTGCCATGTCATCTGCTGGTGTTGGTCCATTGTGTTTTCTGAGGTCCAGGGTCAACGCAGCCACATACCAGGAAGTTTTAGAGCACTTCATGCTTCCTGCAGCTGACCAACTTTTTGGAGATGCAGATTTCATTTTCCAACAGGACTTGGCACCTGCACACAGTGCCAAAGCTACCAGTACCTGGTTGAAGGACCATGGTATCCCTGTTCTTAATTGGCCAGCAAACTCTCCTGACCTTAACCCCATAGAAAATCTATGGGGTATTGTGAAGAAGAAGATGCAATACACCAGACCCAACAATTCAGAAGAGCTAAAAGTCACTATTAGAGCAACCTGGGCTATCATAACACCTGAGCAGTGCCACAGACTGATCGACTCCATGCCACGCCGCATTGCTGCAGTAATACAGGCCAAAGGAGGCCCAACTAAATACTGAGTGCTGTACATGCTCATACTTTTCATGTTCATACTTTTCAGTTGGCCAACATTTCTATAAATCCTTTGTTTTTATTGGTCTTCAGTAATATTCTAATTTTCTGATATGATGAATTTGAGATTTTCATTTGTTGTCATTTGTAATCATCAAAATTAAACAAAATAAACATCTGAAATATATGAGTTTGTATGTAATGTATGAATATAATATACAAGTTTCACTTTTTAAATGGAATTACTGAAATCAATCTACTTTTTCATGATATTCTAATTTTATGACCAGCACCTGTATACTTAGTCACAAGACCCAACAGGGCCAACTCTATCATCTATAAACAAAGATGTTGATGGCAACAGCACAGCTGATATTTCTCTCCAGGATGGAGTCACAGCCAAAAAGGAACCGACCAGATGAAGCTACTATGAGAAAAAGTAGAGAGGGCATAACATTAGAGATTGAACTAAGAGATACTGCAAAATGGGAGAAAGGAATAGAAAGAAGAAGAATGATGCAAAGGGTCTCTACGTCCTACAGCAGCCTAAGCCTATAGCAGCATAACTATAGAGGAAATTCTAGATATCTGTTTGGTGCAGGATTTCAATGACAAGTCCTAATCAATAATAACACCAAGATTTTTCATGTTATTAATTTAGATAATTTTAATGAAAATTTGAACTAGCCTGCACCTGCTAACAGACAAAAATAGAACCATAGAAAGCAATAAAGTCCACAATAAAGCATATTTTCTTCAGAACTTTTTCAAAAAAGACAAGCTGTTCATTTATAATAAAAGGTAAATTTTATTAAGTATTAACTGAGGCTAAATTAGTTGCAGGAAGAGGAAATCAATATCGCTATGTAACGCTACAAAGGTCATATTATTATTAAGTTTTAAAAGGCATCATGTGAAAGTCCCAACAGCTAAAATATGTACAAATAGAACAATGGTGACATGAGAGAAGAGGCAGAATATTATCAAGATCCTTAAAAAAGCCCCCAAAGCATTTTAAGCAAAAAAAATGCAGAAAAATAGAATCTTTACATATTCCTTAGCCAACATATCAATAGATGTCACAGATGAGAAATCAAATCAAACAATCCAAGCAGTTAAAAACATTTAAAATCTTCTGAGAGGGAAAAAAACATAAAGGTTATATTTACATCAGTTAATCACACAAAGATGTCCAGCTAAGTTTGAATTAAAGAGAAATCTGAATGTGGAAAACCAGAACAACCAATAGTACAGCTTTATCACAGCCCCAGCGCCAAGATTACTTTTATTAGTAGTAGTAAGCAAATCATTTGAGCTTTCATGTGTTTAAGCTACTCTTTTATTAAAGGAGAAACAAAAGAAAATAGAAATGTAGTTCCATTTTGCTGGTGAAGATTCTCACTCATCCAGTCGTTTCTTTCTTATTTGAAAACATTTTGCCTCCCATCCAGGAAGCTTTTTCAATTTAAAATGTCAGAATTAGCTTTGGGTTGATAGTTTATAGAGTGGACCAAAAACAAAGCCTTGTTTTGGCTTAGAAAACATGCAAATTGAACCAGAAGAAATGCTCTGCCCTTTAGGAATGGGCAGCCGTTTGGGTTTTTTGTTAGCCTGCAATACCCAAACTGGCCTACTCCTCTAAAAGGGGGGTTGTTAGGGGAATTGTTGGCCTGGCTGTACAGGAAAGATGTTTTGGTCTGCTGTATGGGGGCGAGGGTTGCAATGATAGCGGGAAGGAATCAACTCTATCACTGCATTGCAGGTTTTTGAGAGCTGAAACCTCCACCCCTCTGTTAAAGGTCTGTTTTTCTTTCTTAACATAAATGGTTTTCTTCACACTTTCTAGTTTTAGTGGATTAAGTCTTAGTTTATTGAGTTCCTTGGTTTTTTCTCAGTAACTGTTTTAGTCTTCGTTCTGTTATATTTTCTTTTTAGTGTTCAGTCTTGCCTTACTCTTCGTTTTCTAGTGTTAGTGGTTTTATTTTTATTTTGCTGTGTTCTTTGTTTTTTTTTTCCCAGTTACTGTCCTAGTCTGGATTCTGTTATGTTTTCTTTTGAGTGTTTAGTTTTCTTTTCTCCATGTTTTATAGTCCTAGTAGTTTAATTATTATTTTGTTGTTATTTCCATTCTTCCAGGTTTCTATTTGTTGCCCTCTGCTGCCCTCTTATATTCTCCTTCTTCCCTAGCACTTTCCCTCTCTTGTTCTGTGCACACCTGCTCCCAGTTTCCTTATTAGCCCTCTCTTTTTCTCAGTCTCCTTTAAAAGCCCTCTCTCTTCAGTTCCCCTTTGCTGGGTCCTCGTCAAACACTGTCTAACCTCGTCAATCTTCCTCCAACTTGTCTCTCTGAGCCTTCCTCGTGATTACAGTCATTCCTCTGATGTCTCCATTGTTTCTGGTTTGTTTTACTTATTTTCATGTTTTGAACTTTTTCATTTTTGGACTCCTGCTTTCTTGTTTGTTTTGGACTTTGATTACATTTAGATTTTTTGATAACCTGCCTCTGTTTCCAGTAACTCATTATTAAATCTACTATAAATTCACCTCTGCCTTCTGCTTTTGGGTCCACTATCCACAAACAAATCCTAACACATTCTGGTCCTCAAAAGAATGTCCTTTGTCCATAAGGTCTAGATGTACCGCCGAGTCTTTTCCCGAACAAGGCTTGGTTTTTGGGCAATTCTATAAAAGCTTTGAACTCAAAGCTAATTCTGATATTTCGAATTGAAAAAGCTTCCTGGATGGGAAGCGAAACGTCTTCAAATTTGGAAACAAAGTCCAGTGGATTGTTTTTTACTTTTTGGAATGCATTTTCATTTCTTCATCTCATTTTTGAACCAGTCTCTTAGTTAATGAAGGATACCAGCCAGCTGTTCAAACTTAAGGCTACAGTACCACTGTTGCCCTAATGAATAATGTTTTTATTTTAGTTTTTGCAGGTTTGTTGAAAACGTCAGGAAAATAATTTACAATAAAACACATCAAAAAGTTATTTATTTGACCAAAACAGCCTTTTTATAATAATATTCAAGTTAATAAACAGGCTATACAGGGAAACATTTATCCGCATTTCGGCTAGAAGCAGCACCTTCCATCAGTGCCGCTAACAAGAGACCTTTTTAGTCTGAATAATAATCAGTGGTTTTTTTTACTGCATCAGACAGAATATATTTTATATCAGTTTGTGTTGTTCAGCAGTTGAGGCGTCCATGAGAGCTTCTGACATGACCGTTCTCAGGAAACAGAGACAGCTCCTCAGTGCTGCCCAGCCCATTGTTCAACTCTGAAAGGCAAAAAACAATATGATACTGAGATTGATCTGTACAGTTTTAGCTGCTATAACTATGTGCAGCGTTGGCAATCACCTAATTTATTGCTCCAAGGTTTCCTAATGCTTCAATCATACATCATAGGGGAAACAGTTTAGATGTCAAAACTTCACAAAACAAATTTTATAAAAGTAACATCACACTATACCATTCACTTAAAAGCTTATCCAGAAACATAAAAACAGTGGAATGACAGCTGTTAAATGTTTTATGTATGATTGCAATCTGAGCTGCACCTGAAAAAATGAGTTTCTCTTTCATGATGTTGACGTCTCGACTGGGTCGTCGCACCACAGCGCTCAACATGATCTGTTCTGGATTGTAGTTCTGCATCCCGCCTATTCTCCACCTGTCAGAAAAAAAAAACACATTCAAGCCATTATAATGACACTGGAAAGAATAAGCAAACTACTCTATATAAAAAAGTAACATGACATGTTAAATAGGTGACACAATCAGTGAACATCAGGTAAAGGAGAAGTGTGGACAAACGGGGGGTCAGCCATGGGGTGTGAGGGATGAAAAGCACAAGAAGGAGAGCTGGAAATGAAGGCTGAGGGAGATGCTGCAGTTACCTGATCATATGATAGCTGACAGATGCCAGGAAGCAGCAGAGGAGGGTTGAATGCAGTTCAGACAGAATGCAGGACAAAGAAAGAGAGTCAGAGGAGAAGAAGACAGGATGACAGTGAGAGGTTTCAGCACAGATGACAAACAGAAATACACAAATGACCAAAATTTAAAAGAATGACAGCTTGTGGATCTTTAAACATAGATCATTCCCACATCTTTAGGAAATGTAAAAAAATACAATTATCAGTGCAGAACTGCAACAGTTAATTGGCTACAGAATATTATGTAATGTAAATCCCTTTATTCTCCCACGATGGGGGAATTAACTCTAAGCATTTAACCCATCCCTTTGGGGAGCAATGGGCTGCCATTGTGCAGCACCCGGGGAGCAGGGTGGGTTTAAGGGTCTTGCCCAGGGACCCAAAGTGGAGGCTGTAGGGATCGAAACGGTACTTGCAACCTTTTCAGAGCACAAGTTCACTGCTCTAACCACTAGGCCAACACTCCCTAAATAGATACTGAGTGTCTGTTTGCAGCCGCGCTTTGGATAATATCAACCCAATAAATAGTCATTATGAGCAGTTAGACGAAGGAGATCATCGTCTACTACAGGAAGAACCGGCCTAACCACACTCCACTGCTAATCAACAGCTCAGCTGTAGAAGTTGTCAGCAGCACCAAATTCCTGGGGTTGCACATCACAGACAACCTCACCAGGGAGCAGTCTGTGGTGAATGGTCTTGCTCAGGAACCCAAAGTGGCAGTCTGTGGGAGTGTGTGGGACTTGAACATAGAACATCCAAGGTCCAAGCGATATGCTCTAACCACTAGGTCACCACTCCATTTATAAATGATACTGCCTCACAGGAAATAAGGTAGAAGAATGAAGAGAGAAGCAGAATGTACACAATAAACAAAAGGGAAAAGAGGCCAAACTGTAAAATCTATAAACAATTAAATAGTCCCTGACATACAATCTAAATCACTCTAAAGGTCCATTCACAACAAAATCAGCAACTTCATGTGATTCACCTGTCGTTGGACATTTCTCCTTTCAGACAAACTACATATAGCGCAGGAAAATTCTGTGCTCCGTGGCAGAGATGGGTGACTGGAGCCATCAAGTCATCTCTATGTCATGTATTTGTTCTGTCCAGCTAAACTGAACCAGGTGAGTCCAATCTGGTTTAACTTGTACAGATTGGACTCACCTGGTTCAGTGGCTGAGCAGAACAAATGAGATGACTAGTTGACTGAGGATCCCCCATCTCTGCACCATGGCTCTTTTAAGAGCGAGTAACAGCGCTGATCAGTTTCTGAATGAAAAATGTCAAATCCAGCAGCAATCACAACCACATCCAGTCCCTGACCGGTATATGCAACACAAAGAAACTCTAATATCTTTCAACTTCTACAAAATGTTGCTTCCCTCTCTCTGTGTTTCCACATCGCCTACAGCTTTATCCTGATTGCCAATAACCCAACCCACTCCTTTATGCATGTTTAAATGGCTATTACTTGAAAATCACTTGCTCTAGTCACTGCCTGCGCACCATTAAGATGCGTAAACTCTAGATTGGCATTCACATGCGCACATACCAGTTTATAGCCTCTCCTGCACATTGCAGTTTGGAAACGCAACTGGTGTGTCATACATACCCAAACTAGTCTTGACGGGACCTAAACTTCTTCTCCATCTCCTTGCGGCTTAGACCAACTTTTCAACAACACAAGGGCTTTATATTTAATGTGGAACTGTTTATATGTAATTGTTTAATTGCATCATTTTAAACCATATTTACTTTAATGAAGAATTTTTTGGCCCAAAAGAAGTTTCCCCATGGGTATAGAATAAATCATATTGAATTAAGCTGAATTGAACTGAATCAGTCTTTCGGGTAGTAGGTAGAGTTACTTACTTCTGGAAAAAGAAAATTCCCATGATGACAGCAACAGAGACAATGTCTGAAGAGATCCAGATGAAGTTGTAAGCACTGTGACTCTGTGAGAGAAGGAAAGAAAAAGTAGTTTCCTGCTATATCCACTGGATGTCACATGTTACTCTAAGCTATAACAGGCAGTGAGGAACACAAAATAGTTCAAGACAGCGTCATCACATCAGATCTGTTCTTGGCCTCTTTCCCAGGACTGGACAAAAGGTCCGGCCTTACTGGACCATCTCCAGTCTCTATCCTCTCCCCCTCTGTCCTCATGTCTCTCTATGGAACCTTCATTGCTAGTTTGTTTATGTGTGTGAGATCTACCAGATGACAGAAATGTTTACCATGAGCCAGACGGGGTAAGGCACTTTGTGAAGAACTTGAGGGGCATCGGAGGACACGGAAGGCACCCCGCTACACCACAGAATGGAGTACAGCCAAGGCTCATTCACAGGGTAGACAGTCAAGCTCACATTGTGTGCCAGATATTCCCTGACAGGAGGGGGAAGCAAAAGTACATGTCAGCAGAGAAAAAAGAGGCCCCTAGTTTCCCTTTACAGTCCTGTGTCCTGTGGTGTCACTCTGCAGCCAGTGAAAAGTTCAACTTTCTTAAGAAACAGAGCATCAGTTGGCCTTTGGAAATATGTTCACGTAGATAATTTAATATAAGACATCTTTCCATACAGAATACAGGTGCTGGTCATAAAATTAGAATATCATGAAAAAGTAGATTGATTTCAGTAATTCCATTTAAAAAGTGAAACTTGTATATTATATTCATACATTACATACAAACTCATATATTTCAGATGTTTATTTTGTTTAATTTTGATGATTACAAATGACAACAAATGAAAATCTCAAATTCATCATATCAGAAAATTAGAATATTGTGAAAAGGTTCAAAATTGATGGCCCCTGGTGCCACACTCTAATCAGCTAATTAACTCAAACCACCTGCAAAAGCCTTTAAATGGTCTTTCAGTCTAGTTCTATAGGCTACACAATCATGGGGAAGACTGCTGACTTGACAGTTGTCCAAAAGACGACCATCGACACCTTGCACAAGGAGGGCAAGACACAAAAGGTCATCGCTAAAGAGGCTGGCTGTTCACAGAGCTCAGTGTCCAAGCACATTAATAGAGAGGCGAAGGGAAGGAAAAGATGTGGTCGAAAAAAGTGCACAAGCAAGAGAGATAACCGCACCCTGGAGAGGATTGTGAAACAAAACCCCTTCAAAAATGTGGGGGAGATTCACAAAGAGTGGACTGCAGCTGGAGTGAGTGCTTCAAGAACCACCACACACAGACGTATGAAAGACATGGGTTTCTGCTGTCGCATTCCTTGTGTCAAGCCACTCTTGAACCACAGACAGCGTCAGAAGCGTCTAAAGAGAAACAGGACTGGACTGCTGGTGAGTGGTCCAAAGTCATGTTCTCTGATGAAAGTAAATTTTGCATTTCCTTTGGAAATCAAGGTCCCAGAGTCTGGAGGAAAAGAAGAGAGGCACTTCATCCACGTTGCTTGAAGTCCAGTGTAAAGTTTCCACAGTCAGTGATGGTTTGGGGTGCCATGTCATCTGCTGGTGTTGGTCCATTGTGTTTTCTGAGGTCCAGGGTCAACGCAGCCACATACCAGGAAGTTTTAGAGCACTTCATGCTTCCTGCAGCTGACCAACTTTTTGGAGATGCAGATTTCATTTTCCAACAGGACTTGGCACCTGCACACAGTGCCAAAGCTACCAGTACCTGGTTGAAGGACCATGGTATCCCTGTTCTTAATTGGCCAGCAAACTCTCCTGACCTTAACCCCATAGAAAATCTATGGGGTATTGTGAAGAAGAAGATGCAATACACCAGACCCAACAATTCAGAAGAGCTAAAAGCCACTATTAGAGCAACCTGGGCTATCATAACACCTGAGCAGTGCCACAGACTGATCGACTCCATGCCACGCCGCATTGCTGCAGTAATACAGGCCAAAGGAGGCCCAACTAAATACTGAGTGCTGTACATGCTCATACTTTTCATGTTCATACTTTTCAGTTGGCCAACATTTCTATAAATCCTTTGTTTTTATTGGTCTTCAGTAATATTCTAATTTTCTGATATGATGAATTTGAGATTTTCATTTGTTGTCATTTGTAATCATCAAAATTAAACAAAATAAACATCTGAAATATATGAGTTTGTATGTAATGTATGAATATAATATACAAGTTTCACTTTTTAAATGGAATTACTGAAATCAATCTACTTTTTCATGATATTCTAATTTTATGACCAGCACCTGTAGACCCTATCCTTGGAAAAAAATATTTTAGGTCACCATAGAGATGAGTCTTATTGTCTTTCTTTTTTAAGGACACAGATGTTAGTGTTTTATATAATTTTATCATGAAATCATAATACTAATCAGATACTAATCAGGCATTTTTAGGGCTGGACCATATATTCAAACGTTATATCACAATATATTTCAAAATTGCTATTTATAAAATGGTATTCTGATATAAACTATCAAGAAAGTTCATCTCTCCCTTTAGGATTCATGCTGTATTTTTGATTAAATTGAAATTAATTGGACATTTACCGGATTGCTTTAACGTCTTTTAATCTTTAAATGAAAAATAAAAAACATCACTTGGTTAATAGCAAAATAAATAAAATCAGAGGATGTTTATGTTTAAAAGCTAAACTAATGACAGCTAAACTATCACAAGTTAAGCTAAAAATAAGCTTCCTTTTATCTTCCTCATATTGAATCTGAGCCTTTTATCGGTTGCTAAGCAATAGCTGGCTGTGCTTACTGAATGTCTTCGTAGCTGATCTTTCTATAGTGGAGGGTCACACTTGTAATTCCCCTGTGCCTTATCTCTTCCACAGACAGCTTCTCGTTTGTGGTTTGGTGAAGGGCTCGCACCCGTCCTCTGTCTGTGTCAGGGGCCCATGTCACCTGTTTAACAAAAAAGAAAAGTATAAAGATCCTGACCAAACAGTTACAGGCAGAGAGTGATCATTTCTGCTATAAGTTAAGGTTCATATTTTATAGCTAATGCATTATTACACATGAAACTCCTCAGTGCCAGAGTCAATAATTCACCAAATAGTTGTAAAAAAAAAAATCACAAAACAGGACTTAATCATTTTTTAAATTTAACATTTATTCCATTAAAAATATAATCAGAAATCTATGTAAAGAAAAAAATCAGAATTTCATTAACAAAGGTTATTGCTGAGTTTCTTTACAAGTGAAGAATGTTTGATTTTAAACCTGATGTCACTTTTAAATTACACTAATTTCAGGTTGCTTGTGAAGGTTCTCAGTCATCCGGGTCATAGTCATTCCAAAAAAATAAAAACAAAAACAATCAAGTCAAGTGAATTTGTTTTTATTTTTTGGGAATAATTTCAGGTTACTTGTGTGACCCTGGTTCTCAGAGCATGGTACTCTATGCAACTATTGGCCCAATTATATCTGAAACCATTGGGCCTACACATTCGCTCTCACAATCCAGTAAGAGGAGCTGCTTTGCAATGGGCTTTCCCCCATGAGGATTTGGACAGGATAAAATAGCTTTTTTTGTTTTTTTTTTAAAAGTTGCTAGTTCTGTACAAGTAGGCACCCAAAGCCCAAACTTGACAAAGTTTGTTCAGTGGCCCTTCCAGGCAGTGGGGAGAAGGCTCTGATAGTAATGATCCGAAAACCTTCAGCACGAAAACTGGGTTGAGCTGCAGTAAGAGGCTCACATCCCCAGCGCCAAACCTGATGCATGATGAGCTCACTAAGAGAGTGGGTATTGCTAACACATTTAGCAGATTCTAAATATCTGTTTATTTTTCTATGTCTGCTTCTGTCTCCTTGAACCCCAGTCAGTCTCAGCAGATGGCCGCTCAAACTAAGCCTGGGTCTGGCTCTGATGGAGGTTTGTTCCTGTTCAAAGGGAGTTTTTCCTCTCCACTGTTACTACAAGCATTCTTGGTGTGAGGGACTGCTGAAGATTCAACCACAAAATACAAGCGAAAATCGTCACTCGAAGCCCATCCTGCAGGAGCATCTCTTACAAGTCAATGACTGGATGCAATCAACTGGTTTTCTTAAACAAAGTGACTATATTGTCTCTGTAAAGTGTCCTGTGATGAGATGGCTTGTAAATTGGCACTATTTAAATAAAGTGAATAGAAAACTGAGTTAAAGCCAACAATAACACTTTGATGAGGTGTAAACATTTGAAAACAACGTCCTCTAAAGGTATCTGTGAAGATTTTCATCTATCCAGGTCACGTTCAAACTTGAAAAGTTCAGTTAAGGCAACTGGATGCAAAGTTTTCTAGAAGACGCTTCGTCCCTTATCCAAGAAGCCTACCTCTAAAGGCTCAAATGGTGGGCCAGTGAAGCCTACCAACACACCACCAGATCCCATGGGACAGCCTAAAACCTGGAAACCCACAAAAGCCTTTTGACCCCTTTCATAAAATCCCTTACCAAAGGACATTGGCTAGCAGTTTTACCTTCAAAGCCCATGTGGCCGGTTGAGATAAGACCCTTGTATATCTTAATTGTGCAGAAAGGCTATTGTCTGTCAAGCAGTCTCCTGCCAGAGCACCAATTCTCAAAAACCTTTTGCTTACAATCAGAGGATGGTATTTATCGCCCTGCTGCCTCTACATTTTACCACTCAGAAGCAAGGCCTATAGTTTAGGTAATCTGCCTGTGAGTGAAACACTGTCCTCCCTGCCAAAGATGTCCTACCATAGCAGGACCTGCCATGTCTGTCCACTCAGGAGCTGATATACAGTGTATCCACCAACCAGTGCATTGCTGACCAGTGTGGAAAATCCCTTATAGGCAAATGGCTGAGATGAACGTCAAGAATGGTGGAGGCCAATAAATTTGTTATTTCATTAAAAAAAGGTCACTGAGCTCTATGTGAGATCAAGCTACTATTGAAATAACGTCTGGAACAGAAATGGATGGAAAGTTCATAATAAAGTTAAGTAACTTGCTCTTCTAACGGTCAGACTTTTGTATTATATAAACTGTAGAGGATTAGGATTTTGGTCTGTCTGAACTTGTCAAACTAGAGTTTTGTCATCAAAATCTTTATGTTAATGCGTTGAATGAGAGAGTGCCATAAAGGGATGGCAGACGTGGTCTAACTGAAGATGTAGGGTACACATGTGCGTGTGTATTAAAAGAAGATTTTGCATAATGTCTTGTGTTGTTTGATGGTGAACTCATATTAAGCATTTATATTATGTGTTGCACCTCTTTCCTCCATCAGCAGTTTTCATCTACTCTTTTTAGATCAAATGATCCAAATTTATCTTTAATAGTACAACCACATCATTTATACCTCTTTTGATTCATTTCACTGCTTAGCTTGTGCTGATCATTTAATTCTGCTGGGCAGATCTCAAAACTGTAAAAGTCTCTCATCTTCGATGCTATTTCTGTGAATAAACAGGCATGAGAAGCCATAGCCTTCTATGCCATTATTGGGGCAGTAATTTTGCAGATTTACAATTTCTTGGGTACACGCTCACTAACATCATTTACGATCTTGTACTGAAGTTAAGAAAGTTTGTTAAATCTTATGTGGGGCATTTGTAAGAGACAAAAAGTAAGTGAAATTTACAACAAGAATACAAAACTGTAATGAGGCCCAAATGTCATTGCTAGGTGGCGACTCACTCAACAGCAAGTAGGGGAACCTGCTAGAGAGGTTGGCTCAGCATGCTAGCCATTTATTAACGCGGTTTGTAATGAAGTGGGACCAAATTCTCCAGGATCCCAGGGCTTCAAACTATTCTACTATGGATCTCTGCTAGAAGTCTCATTCCTGCTGCTGCAGAGGTGAGTCTCAGAATATCTGCCTCCTCTGGTGTGAGGGGAAGCAGAGCTTTTTTCATTAGCCAAAAATCTAACCCAGCTAACACGCGTGAGGTCCAAAGTGGAAAGTATTAGCCCGTGTGCTAATAAAGAAAAAATAGCACGACAGACCAGAGCCACAAAATACCTTCAATCCTTGGACAGTTTATCTGGTCTACTAGTACAGAACAGAGATATGCCTCGAAGTGAGAAGAGGTTTTCAAATAATGTGGTGTAAAGGATGGGTGATGCTAGTGTAGTAACTACCATCCATGCCTGTCCCTGTTTTGCTGTGTCTTGTCTTTTCTGAGCCCTCTCTTCATATCATCCAAATTCAAACAATGGAACTGGTCATCTGGTCTGTCAATGCAATTGATCAAATTTTCTCAACTGGAAGACAGGGAAAAGTAGACCCTTCCTGTCCTGCTGGGACATACTTAGTGGGATACACCATGGACTCATGGAAGGCTTGGAGGTTGGTGTGTTTCACAACGTTGTCAGTGGAGGATGTCAAAGATACATGGATTTTCGGATTTATGATACTCTGATTTCTCCTGTTTGGGTTTGGAGAATACCCGATGCATCTACAATTACAGAGGATGTCGGCGGCAATTTGGGCATTGATCAGGCTGCCGGCAGCGGTTGACACGCTCACAAAGGCTGTGAATGAGCAGGACCGCGAGATGAGCCATATGCTGAGTCCGATTTAACATAGGCTGGGTGTGGTGGTTTAACTTAGAGGTGAGATGGGATAATATCTTGGATGTTCACACTCGTTTCAAGGTGGAAAAGCCAAAAAAATTCAGAATATTGGATTTGCCATGTGGAGCCAGCAAAAAAAGACTCAAAGGCTGGCTCCACATTATCAAACCTCCCCTGGATGTTATGGCGGAAGGGCCCAGAACTGCTGGCTCCCCCCCATCTACCCTTCCATCTTATCAAGGTCAATGGCCTGAGGACCGCGTTCATGGATAAATAGAATGCATTCATCATGCATACATAAAATTACGCTCAAGATGTCAGATTGACTTTCATGTGCCTCCAATGTTTTTCTTTTGGTGAAATGTTTGTCTCATGTTATATGGGCTTTTTTTGTACAGAGGTGTTTTTTGTGATGTAAGTGATGAACAGTTTGTACTCAAACTGAAATCTTGATTACAATGCAAATTGTAGTTGACAATGAAGAACTTGATTGATTGAATGATTGATTGATCGATTGATTGATTGATTGATTGATTGATTGATTGATTGATTGATTGATTGATTGATTGATTGATTGATCGATTGATTGATTGATTGATAAGCCACTGGTTGAAATTACCTTGGCAGGTGTTAAAATGAGAAGGATTTGTCCCCTTGTAAGGAAGGCTGTAGTGCCCCAGGGGCCTTCTCATTGGTTCTTTTCCTGGGAGCAAGTTATTTACTACTCTTAACTCAAACTGGGTAAAACCATATAAAAAATGACTATAAAAACAGGAGTAAAAAAGTAACAGAGTTTATTCTAGATCAGGTCGTTACAGGACAGAGAAAAATGCTTAGAGCTTGCACAGCTGTGGTCTCAAAAATCACATCCGCGAGCGTCCGGCAAAGTTTGAGCCCCGGACAACGTCATCTCCTGCTTCTTATACCTTCTGAGTTTGTGTTGCATCAAGTGGATGCTTAGCTGTCCGTATCAGAAACTGAATAAACCTAACACAGGTAAGAGCTTCTCCACTAACCAGTAGCAAGACAAACTGGTTGTCGGTTTTAAATCCAGCTTTGTCTGTCTCAGTACTGGAGTGTAGTTTCCCATCTTCAGCCTACAAATTGAATGACTGATTGTAGTGTGAGGTCCTCAGACCTGATAAAGCACTCAACAAATTCAGGTCATTGGCCATTTTATTGTCTTACTTTTGCCTCTGATTACACAACAAAAATGTTGTTCCTGAGACTTTTGCCAGAGAATAATGTTGGATAGTCAGAGTAAAAGTATAACTAAAGCCTGAGTCTCAATTTTTGCAAAGTATTAGGACATGGGATTTTAATTTTTTTTCAGATTGACAGGTTAAAAATGTAAAAAGCTCAAAACCAGAAGATTTGTATATTCAATGTCACCTTTTTCTGGGAAATCCCTGCTTTTTGCAGAGTCCACAGTGTGTCCATAAACCAGCTGCGGAAGCGGGGGTGATCTGGTGCAGGCTTGCGGATGTTGAGCAACACAGAGCAGTTGGCTCTGGCTGCTAGACGTAGCATATCTACCAAGCTGCAAATTGTCAGGTTTGCTATCCTGGTGCGATCCTTCGTGCTCAAGGTTTTTACTGTCCAGTAGGGGTCGCTCTGGAGGATAAAAAAATAAAATAAAATACAACTGAGAAGCTGAGATTAGTTTGTTGCATAAACTCCTTGCTTCATTAGATGTATGACTGCAACTTAATGCCAACATTTATATTTCAGCGGTTCTGACACATTTAGGGTATGCAGTACCTCCAAAAACCAATGCCCTGCATTTAAAGAGTGAATCTCTGTCCAGTTAAAGAAGGAGGCATCTTCGTGCTCTCTGGAGGGGAAGACTTTACTGACGTCTGTAGTCCGACTTAAAGTATGGTCCCTGATGAGGAAAGGAACTCCATCCACACTACAGGATGTAAAAAAGACTTTGCTTTGTCTTCAGCTAAACATAAAATAAATATATGAAGCAGAATTTGCTTAAAATTTACTGCATTTTTTCAATCAAACTCTACTAACCCACATGTCAGCAATAATTTATATGTGGAGAATCAAACCATAAATATAAATAAATGGTTATTAATTACCTGATGGTGACATCTGCTTCCAGAGAGCTAGCTCCATGCTGAAGGGCTCTGCTAAATGACATTATGGTGTTTTCAGGGGCCAGCTGCAGCAAAGAAGGCTACAGTCAGTCACTAAAATTATGTAAAAAACAGGGAGATAATAAAATACATGCATTTCTTTTTTTTTAGAACTATTTTCAAAACCTTTTCACAACAAAAGAACATTCCCTGAGCCAAGAGCAATTAAATCAATAACAGAAATACTGATGCCACATATACAATATTTCAACATAAATGCAGCACGATAAACCAGGTCACCTGAAACTTTGAATACCTTACAAGAGAGAACTGCACATATATACTACCATATGTACATATACATACACACAAACACACACCCCTCCCCCTCCCCTCCAGGGTAAATACATGCATTTCTTGTTACATTTATGATTTACTACAGTTATTTCTGTGCATTACCTTAGTGTACTTTTACTGCACTGAAAACTAGAAATATCTTCTAGTAAGTCTGACCGTTGAGCTAATTACCCAGTTATGTTTATGGTTCTGCCCTTTGTTTAGGGTTCTTTTAAAAGCTTTTAGTTTCACTGTGATTTCATGTCTTTATACTTTTCTGAACGTGTTGAGTTTTTGGTGTTACTCTTTGTTGCCTCCAAGTGCCCCTTCCCTTTCCCCTAGTTTCATTGGCTTCTATCCACACCTGCTCCCTTTTAGCTGATTACCCCAGTCATTGTTCTGTGTCCCATATATACTCCTCCTCTGCAGTTCCTCGGTGCTGGTTTCTCGTTGTGACTTTGCCCCCATGTGTGCTTTTCCCTGGTATCTCCTGGTGTTTTATTTATTTATTTTTTGTATTTTGTTCCTGGATTTGTTTTTCTGTTGTCGCCCTTCATTAAATCAGCAAAGCTCAACTCTGCATTTGGGCCCCAAACCAATCTCCAACCTACCTTGACAAGTTATGTGTCTTTAGCTCGTCTTTGAACCAGAGTCTTAAAAAACATAAACTGCTAGTTCAATCATTCAATAAATGCCACAAATAATAAAATAAAGAATATGAAATACTTCACCATGTAAATCCCATATTATTAAGTTTTGTACGATTTCTATCTTTTATTTCTGGAAAATTGTCAAACTAAGAAAACAATCCTGTCCAGGAGAGACATGGAAAATCATCATTTCTATGGAAGAGGATTAGGGCCACTGGAAAGGAAAAAAAAAAGTTAACTGATTTTTAAACTTAATTTCAGATTCATATGGGAAAAAAGTCCGAATTCTGTCTTTAATCTGACTTTTTTGCTAGAATTCTGACTTTCATCTCAGAATTCTGACTTTAATCTTAAAATTCTGACTTTTTCACAGAATTCTGACATTAATCTCAAAATATCTTTTAATACGCTAATCTCAGAACACCTTTTAATACGTTAATCTCAGAATTCTGACTTTTTTCTCAGTCAGAGAAAAAATCTAAATTCTGAGACATTGATCTCAGAATTTTGGATCTTAATGTAGATGGGCACCAGAAGAAAGAGATGTGGGAGCACTCAGCACACTAACAAAGATGTGAATTGTTTGTGAGGCCCAGTAACACATTGGTGGAAAATGTAGGAATTAGGCAAATTTTTATGTGACCAAGGGGTCCCTGCTGATGCTATTTAATTAATGGAGAGAGAGCTAGTCTCTAAAACAGACATAGCTACAGCTTGATGCTAACATGTTTGTTATGTAGCTGTCAGAACTCCATCAGAATTCTGAGAAAAAAGTCAGATTTCTGACTTTTTTTCCCATATTAAATGAAAATAATATTTAAAAAACATGTTTTTTTTCTTTTTTCTGTGGCCCTAATACTCTTCCATACATTTCAAAGCAGGTCTGTTGTAATTTTTTAATGTAATTAAGTTTGCAAAATTCGGTTAAAAGCTTCAGCTTATCCAAGACAAAGACAATAAAAAATAGAGATCATATCCGTCCTATTTTGCTTACTGTTAAATCTAGAATAGATCTTTTTTGCCTGTGGTCTTAGCTGTGTTTTTCTACTAGATAAAGTACCATAGTAGCTATTTCTACCTTTGCACTTTTCTTTAACATAGAAGGAGCCCCTGATTCTGTGGTTCTTAGATTTTTTTTTTTCCCCCGTCTGTCTACTGCGATTTCTTTCAGTGTAGACTGCCTTAAAAGACATGAAGTGAATTGGTGCTGCATGGCATCAATAAACTGAAGTGAATTGAATTTGAGGTCAGTCATTTTGATCAATTCAATAACCATTGTTACCATCATGCACCTAGTTCAGGGGTCAGCAACCATATGGGACCAAAAAAACAAAAAACAGATCCGCCTGGAGCCGCAATAAGAGTAAAAGTCTTATATAAGCCTCCAAGGGCTCTAAGTGTATATAAGCCCATTATCTAAATGACTAAGTAGGCTTCAATACAATATAAGTATTAATGATTAAATGTTTATATTTCCAGCAGCGCATCCTGGACAAAATGACCCCATATATCTAATCTGCTGTACAACATTTGCTGCTCTAGGTTTAACTTCCATCACAGTATTAAAGTATTATTTGGAATTAATGGAATTGTAGAAATAAGATAAAGAAATCCAATTTTGATGTTATATTTATTTTGAGGATTGGAAAAAAAAAATAAATGTGCATAATAGGACTTCTCTAATTTCAAACCTTCGTGTGGAAATAAAATGCTGTCATCTTCAAACCGCAGTAACAACACAATCCTTTCTTTTTCCCTCCTTATCGGAGCAACAGTGTAATAAAACACAGCCTGCAACAAGCAGCCTTTTAAAGAGTTAAATAGGGTATGGAAACAAAATAAGCAGATATATTTTAATTACAGCACCCACCGGTTTGTTTACAACAGCCACCTGCCTAGCAATGGCTGTTCTTTTTTGATAGAAATGTTTACATTTATTGTTTACATTCTTTATTATACAAATAGCAATGGAAACATAATGAATGTTTGTTTGTCTTCCTACACACTATATTAAAAGAAAGAAAGAAACAAAAATAATCCATCTTTTTCCTTGTTCATACATGTTTAAAAGTGAGCCGCTAGAGGGGCTATAAAGAGACGCATGTGACTCTGGTGCCGCGGGTTGCTGACCCCAAACCTAGTTGAAAAAAATCCCACTGAAATGTAGCGCACAGTCATGCAAATTCAGTTTATGTGTTAGAGACAAAAAACAGTTCCATTATGCCAGAGTTTTAAGAGAAAACGTTAAATCAACCAATGCCGGAGAAAGGGCAGGGGCCTCTATTCAGGCTCCCCATGATGCTGAAAGGGGCTATTTTTCAATAATTAACCGGAGCAGTCTCAGCTCACCATAGGAGCTCCTCGTCGACCAATAATGGCTGGTGGTGGTTTGAGGACATGACGGTCCATAATACAGGGGCAGGTGAAGGTAAGAGGAGCAAGGCAGAGAGCCAGAAGGACTATGATGAAGACTGCCAACACCATCCCCTGAAAATCTGAAAAAAAAACAGGAGTAACAGAATAAGTGTTAATAAAGTTAAGAGTCAGTTAATTAGGTGATGTCAGTATTTTTCAGGAAAATAAATAAATCAGTTAGGTTTGTACAATTAGAAAGTACAACATGCTGTCTGTAATAATAGCCCAAACACTGAAGAAACCAAAGGCTGGATTATTCCAAGTATTTACTAAATGTCAGGTCAACACTCACTGGATCTCTCTTTGCGAACCACATAGCCGGCTACCAGCCAGCTGACAGCTGTGACAGTGACCAGGCCTCCGATGTGCAGGAAAGGGGCAGTGAACTGGCAATAAGGAAGAGATTTATAGGACAGCTCTTAGTCATCAGAATATGGCAGATGGTTTTCTAAACCAATCTAAAATATGTGCTTGATACTAAGATACTTATGAAATTTGAATATCTTATGTGCCGTTGAACTGATACTATATGAAAAATACATCTTGTTATTAAATCTTACAAAAAGTCATGAAAGGCGAAATGGCCTCTTTTGACAACAAAATCAGCAGCTGTGTTCAGATTTTTATGTGCACCCATTTATTAGACAAACATTAATTCATTGGAAATTATAAAAATAAACCACAAAAAACAGCAGGTTTTTTGTTAAGCCGGAACGCAGATTAAAAAAACAACAAAACTAAAGTTAAGCAGTAAATCTAATTATATCAATTCAAGACTGTAATAAAAGCAAATTTCAGATTTTCTTGAAGTTTTGTTTTCTCTGGGCTCTTCATACAAAACATCTTGTATCTTAGCTCAGGGCCAACTTACAAGCTCAAGTTAAACCGTTATGTTTGCCGATAATAAACGCTAACTGCTCCAAAGAACCTCATCTCAGGAGCAGTGTCCATAATGTAAATTACATTGTAACTAGGGTTCTGTTTCATTCCTTTCTGACTGCCAGTGGCAGTATAAAAAGTGGATTTGTCTCCTCGCACGCCGCGCAGGTCGATTTAAAATGTTAACAAAACACCCATGTGACATGTAGCTCACCTGGGTGTGCGTCCATAAATGGTATGTTGAAGACTATGTTCAGTCTCCTGTGATCATCTCGCTGTGGGAGAAGTTCCGATTGACCAGTGCGAGAGGCAGTCATCCAGGAATTCATAGAACTATAATTACAACCTAAGTTATGTTCTGTGGTGGGATTTAATGACGTACAAATATTTCATTACTGTAGTTAAAGGTATAGTGAACAATCTTTTTTTCCAGGTGGACCATCTAAATAAGTGGTCCACCTAATTGTCATTCATTCTTGTGATATGTTTACGTAAAGCCGTCCTACGTGCTCGTCCCTTTAGCTATCATTTTCTGCGCATGCGCACTTTCCGGCGTATATCTGTGATGAACTACGGTTTCAAACGGTCATTGAAGCTCACCTTTCTCACTGCGGAGAGCTCTCCTCACAAAGCATTATGGGATTTGCTGTCACGGCGGCCTGCTGTCGCCATAGGCTGCTGCCATAGCCTGCCGCTCCCCGACAGCGGCAACTAATAACAAAGATGGCACTGGCACCGCGCAGTGGACAAACGGAGAAGTGATCATCTTTCCGAAATGTAAGATAATTGAGTTCACTATAAAGTCCACAATATAGTCCTCGCTCTTTATAGTGAGTAAGGATTAGGGTGGACGTTCAGACACAGTAAGCTTGTATGAGCAATGAGAACAGCACCTTTTAAACAGAGCGTACACGAGGAGAAATGGGCTCATGCATGCTCTCGCAAGCGCTTTTTTTTTTAAGTGGAGAGGACAGGTCTTTTAAAACCCTGAACAGGCTTGCACTTCCACACTGCTCCCCGTCCATGGGGTGATGCATCAGTAGTAACCCCCTCGTGTCTTGCGGGAACCACACCAAGGGGGATTCCGTGCTGCAGATAGGCTCTGTCTCACCAACGACGGAAGAACAATGCACGGCCGGGAGTCATGGGCGGCAATGAGGGGAATGGAGGTGCCGCTGGGGCCCTGCGGAAAAAGGGATTTCCGACAGGACGGGATGCTGGAGCATCATCCAGGCCCACTCTGGCCAAGGCTGCCATGATAATTGCGTGCAGCTGACATGGGTCCTCCCCTGGGTCAGAGCAAATTGAACTCCTCAGGGAATTTCCTGAACAATCCTGGCTTCAAAAACTCCTGATCACAAGCATCTGGGAAGGATTCTCCTTGCTCTCCAAGGAACTGAAACTTCGAATTGGAAGCCCTCACAGAGATTCCATCCTCCTCCAGATCCTCCCCTGATTCCCAGGACGCCGCTCTTTCTTGGGGAACTGAAGTGGGGACTGGAACCTTGAGTAAGCTTTGAGCTGCTCCACCTCGGCCTCCAGCGAATCTACTTCCTGGTCCAGCTAAGGCCTTCATCTCAGCAGACTATGGCGCTCTTAGCTGGAGCATCCCCTCGCCTCCCGGAACATGGTTGAGGTGCACCTCAGGGTGCCAGCTCAGCCGAAAAAAGCAGATTCTACAGCTGACGTAGCCTGTCCTCCCTGACAGACAACTGCAGGATGCTGCAGTTCATGCATGGGTCAGTCGGAGCTTCTCTAAGATTACCCACCCCCAAGCATTTAGGGCACAGATCATGGCTATCCTTTTCCTGGAAGAAGCGTGGACTTCAAAAAAACTGAAGAACACGATCAATATATTGGGAGCACACGCCTGCATGTGGGGCTACTGACCAACCAGAGTGAGACTTCAAAAAGGGCTGAAGAACACCTTGTTCAGCGCGATATCAAAGGGGGAAGGAAGCTTCAGCAGCTAATAAACAATGAAAGCCAGAAGCTGATGCTAGCCGTCTGCTCTACTAAAACAAACTGACAAAACATCAACCACAACCTTAGAGGGCTACCAAGAGCACTATGACTAACAAATCACAGGCAGGATGACGCTGTACTCTTACCCCTTAGACCTGCAAATACCAATAAGTTCTGAATCACTGACTTATAGGAGCAATCACCTGCGAAACACGCCTAGTTGACAGCGAGAAGATCAAAGAGACCAAACGTAGCCTTCAAATGGCTATTTATAGACGCACGCCCAGGTGAGCTACGTGTCACGTGCGTGACTTTGTTTGCATTTTATCTTGACCTGGGCAGAGTGCGAGGAGACATATACACCTTGTTAATTGTTACTGCCACTGGCAGTCAGGAAGGAATGAAACAGAACAGCTTCATTAAAGTCTCTTAAAAAGATATAATTCCTATAAATCTGAGGATGTATTAACAGTGGCTTAAAGAAAAAGAAACAACTTTGGTTTTAGGCCCACCTGTAGTGAAATATGAATGATTTCCCACTCATCTCCCCAAATGTCGTCCACAGAGACAAAACCAGAGACAGTGGTGAGTAGCGTAGCCAGAACTCCGATCTGTACAGACGAAGGATAAAAAGAAACCGTAATTCCAGAGTTCAAATATGGGATATCTAACAATTAAGGAAAATCATACAGCACCTTATGAACCCAGTATAGGTTCAGTTGTTGACCCAGTGATATGTGGAAAAGTGCCAAAATCTGAAAGAATAAAGCAGGACCCAATCCACCATTTGTCAATCACGTGGTCTCTTGATTAAAGGGTTTGGATAAAAAAAAAAAAACTAAAAAAACTATTACCAAGAGGAATGTGATATAGCTGAGTCCCACAGTGGTTGAGGTGAGAATGGGGACGGTCTCGTCCCTCCATTTCCCAGAATGATTGTAGACGGACCTGTGGTACGAACAAATAAAGTTCAGCTATCTAAGGAGGGGCTCCGATAAAACAACTAAAAAAAAAAATAAGCATCATTATTTTAAGGCTAGCATCATTTCCTGGATTCCAGTGACTGAAATCAACCTTTAGACCAAATTCATGTGCTGGTCCTTAGCATGAAGAGAAATATGGCACACCATTTTGACATTTATTTCCTTGACTGAATATCTAATTCAGATACCTTAAATGTAATTCTTATTAATGCAAATTAAATCACATTTCCTATTCATGTGTATTGGGCTTTATCTAAAATAACTTTCCTCTAATCTAAATGAACATTCCAGATGTGTATATAAATATATTTATATATATATATATATACATATATATATATATACATATATATATATATATATATGTATATATATATATATGTATATATATATATATATATACATATATATATATATACATATATATATATGTATATATATATATGTATATATATATATATATATACATATATATATATATACATATATATATATATATATATACATATACATATACATATATATATATATACATATACATATATATATATATATATATATATATATATATATATATATATATATATATATATATATATATATATATATATATATATATATTTTATTATTTTTTATTTTTTTTGGTTTTTTTTTTTGGTTTTTTTTTTTGCATCCTGAAGTAGTTTGTGCTGGCAAAAAATGCAATTTAGGAAATCTATATTTACAGTTCTGACTAGTAGGAATGAAGTTATAACCAGGAAGAATCCTATTTTAATGATCAACAAATAACTGAGAAGACAGTGCTTCTAATAAATGGTAAACGGCCTTCCATATTTATATCCAGGGCACTTTACTGGGAGAAACTATTAAAGAGGGGAGAGTCCCTTCTGTGTTGAGATTACTTTGAGATTCCCCCTGAATGGGAAAAATATGTCTGGTTTTCCTGCTTATTCTTTTACCCTTTGAGTTGAGACAAGCAGAAGGCAACAGGCTTGTCTTGTTTGAATAATAACCAGGAACAAGCAAATCTCCCCTCATCTTTCAAAGCAGCTTTTAAGGTTTTGGTTAGAAAAAACTCATCAAGTTTCATCTGAACACACCACTGGACTAAAACGGGTTCTCCATCGGAAAATAGGTCATTGGCATATGATCTATGGAACAACATTTAGAGAAAAGTAAACTATATCTTATGGTGAAATACTGTAAAGGCTTTAAATCAGGAAATTGTAGATTTATCATATGTTCTCTATTCCTGACATGATTTTCTGATACTGAACTCATCAAGGCTTCTCTGACTTTATCAGATGTTCTAAGCAAACCTCTGCTAAATGCTAATTTTAACATGGAGAAAAACACTTACCAGTTGAAGTCATTAAAATCATTCTGAGAAACCAACCAAAAATAGGCCCACAGGAGAAGCAGGAGGAAAGAACTGCTCAAGATGATGAACCATGCACATTCCCACTGTGAAGAAAAACAAATGAAAATTTGATGACCCTTGATTTGCAACTTGGGTCTAATTCAGATTCAGTGTCTCTGGCATCTTTTAAGGTTTTTTGTTTTTCAGATGATGAATCTGAATGTTGCAGAGGTTTTTGTCTACAGTAGCAGTAGGTTTTATTCAGCAGCCCCTGAACAGGAAACAGGACAAAAAGGATTTGATTACTATGAACACTCAGAAGTACAGTACATTAAAAATCTGCATGTGACCTCGTGCAATGTTTGTGCTATCAAACCCATGCTATTGTCTGTACCTACAGTATAAGATAATGTAACGAAGCAATAATCAATCTAAATTCTACAGGAAGTTCTCAGGTAAGTGGAGCTACTCCAAAGTACTTTCAGCACTTTGCATTAAACTAGTATATCTATTGAACAGGCTAAATAAGTAACACTAAAATGTTAAATAATGTTATACAACAAAGTTAATGCTACCGGGTTAGTTTACGACTTTAGTTTACATTCAAGAACCAGTTCCTTCAGAATAAGTTTCGCCTTCTACATGCAGGTTAGCTATCGTATATTCAGTTCTAAAAGTATGTCAAAAAAAATAATGTAGTGAAAAGAATCCACTGTTATTTCAACCCAAATTTTGTTGTTACAAGATGCAAATTAGGACTCATTTTTATGTCACAGAATAATCGCTTCATTTCATCCAATTTCAAAATCAAAATGTATTCAATAAAAGTCAGCCATTTGATTTTTTGTTTTTTGAAAACACACACAAAAAAAGCATCAGAATCATTTTGACCAAAAAGTAGTAGATAAACAAATCGCTGGTTTCAAACCAATTCCTGGACTTTCCGATCTACCTTTCCCAGATCGTTCATTCCTGGGAAACAGGTTCCCTTTGGTAAAAATAATTGTGAAGTTCAAAATCTTGTTGAACGGGAGACCGGCTGACCCCAGAGAGAAAGATCTGTTAAATATCACTGAGGCTATAGAAGAAGACATTCATTCTCATTTTGAATGCTGAAGACATTAACAGAGTTTGACCCCACTGGGGGAGGTGGGTGGGTTAAACATCGACACATAGATGCTTAGACAGTTCTCATATTCTTAGTTTATATATCAACACTTCCCGGCTTAGAAACAGTAATTAGGCTAATTTATGGCAAATCTGCTGGTTCTTTGTGATCCAGGCAGACATGCAGCAGCAGGAGCTGTTGCAGCACAACACATCATTAACACAGCTGGATGTCTGGAACCTGTTTAAATCACTTCAATGCCGCACTAAATTTACTGCAACCTTTATAGAGAACATTAGTCCCTGCTGTAACTGAGGCTTAATGAGGAAGACCTTCAGGAATTCACCACACAACACAAATACGATCAGCCTCTAAAGGTTTAGATTCAGGCTGTTGAAATAATATTTAAAACATCAGAGAAAACTTAAGCTGAGCCATGAGATTATGACAAGAGAAATGTGAATTACATTTGTTGGAGTAGGAGTACTAGTTTACAGTGGTGGCTAGTGGAGTTTTCTTCGTTTTTCTTGTGAAATAGATGTTCACAAAAAAACAATCAAATATATACTACTAATAATTGAGCTTTATTGATCTCACATTGGAGAAATCTACCTCTGCATTTAACCCATATCCTTGGGGAGCAGTGGGCTGCCATTGTGTGGCGCCCGGGGAGCAGTGTGGGGTTAAAGGTCTTTGCTCAGGAACCCAGAGTGGAAGCTGTGGGATTCGAACCGCGTACTTGCAATCTTCTCAGAGCACAAATGCACTGCTCTAACCTCTAGGCCAACACTCCAGTATACTCTATTGAACGCTGACAACAAAAAAATATTACAAAAACACTTTATAAAGCAAAACTTAATTTCATGTACAGGTTTACTTTTTGTACATACATCTAGCCCATCTGAGGCTTTGTGAAGGCAAATCTGTGTTTTGCATGGCTCAATATTGTGTCACAAACCTAAAAAAAAGAATGTACCACTTTAATAATGGAGAAGCTATTAGTCAGCATTATATATTTTTTTTAATATATAAGAACTATTTATTTTCTGACAGGAATATTTTTTTCTAATTTATTTGATTTTAGCTGTGTGCAAGACAGTGAATGAGGTAATGGGTCGGTTACAGTACAGACACTACAGAAAGGTTATACAACGAGTTTGCTTTAAAAATGGGATCATTTTAACCCAAAGATAAGAGCAGTGAAAGCAAATGTTCTTTGTTCAAGTCCTGGCAAGGTGTTCTTTGGCCAAATGAAGTGCCTAAACGCAGGTGTGTATATAAATATATATATATATTAGTGCTGTCAAAATTATCGCGTTATTATCGCGTTAACGCGAGGCCATTTTAACGGCGATAATTTTTTTAACGTGAGATTAACGCTATGTGGTTTTATGGTACAATTTTCCAAGTACATCCCGCTGCAGCCTGCGGGAAGGCGGGGCTATTTTCCCCCAGTCTATGCATTTCTCATAGGCTTCGAGAGCGGAGCTTCTCAAGGAAAAAAGACGCTCATACACTGGGTGACGCTAGTGCCTTTTCTTTAAGCCCCACCACCAACAAACAAGTTGAGTGTCTGGTAACTAGTAGCAACCTGAAATACGCTGAGAAAACAGATTACTGAGGTGAAATGGAATCTGCTACGGCACTATTGCTGTCTGTGTACGCAACAGGTCGGTATCGTGTGTGTGTGTCTGTGTGTGGGTGGGTGTGTCTGTGTGTGGGTGGGTGGGTGTGTGTGTGTGTGTGTGTGTGTGTGTGTGGGTGGGTGGGTGTGTCTGTGAGTGGGTGTGTGTGTGTGTTCTCATTTTTGTTAAGAGGCTGAAAAGTAACTTTCTAGAGCATAGACTACCTCCATCTAGTAGAGGTGGGCGGATCGATCCCAGGATCGATACTATCGATACCAACGCTGGTATTTATATTGAACAATATTCGTTTAACAAGATCGATACTTTTTATCCTCTCTCGCGCGCGCTGACTGCTGCGGAGTCACCAGTTTCCCCATATGTGTAACAGCACTTTGCTCCCCCTCCCCTCTCCTACAGTCACATGGCTCAGCGGCGCCAGCCAATCAGCGCGCAGGCTTAGCTTGGCCTGCCCACTCAGCACTACGTCACACAGACAACCGCGCTGCCGGTTGCTGGGTGAGTGCTCACTCAGACTTGGATGGAGAGAGAGACCAAAGACCCGCCTCCAGCCTCAGACAGACATCTTTGACCCAAGCGTTTCAGTCCTCCAGAGAATATCCAGGTAGATAACAGTGGTCATCGTCTGCAGCACTTCATTATACATCATATATTACTCAGAAAGTGTAGTTAAGACCTTGAAAAAACCCAGTACATTTATCCCATTAAAAATTGTTAGCTAAAATAAGCTAACATTAGATAATCTCTTATTTATTCCACGATTGAGAACTTTATAGAAAAAAAGCAACAGGCAAGTGCAGCTTAAATGTAAAAAGTATCGGTATCGATATCGGCGATACTGACCCAGTATTTACTTGGTATCGGATCGATTAAAAAATCCCGGTATCGCCCACCTCTACCATCTAGTGATGTCGGTCTATTGATTTTGATGTATTGATTGAAAATTGTTCATTATTACCTTGGTTAATTGACATCTAATGTTAACTGTACTACATTTTATAGCAGTAGGGTAAAATGCTTGTCTTTGTTCAAAAGACTGTATTAACTGTAAAGACTGTCTTTTACATCAGCCTGTTTTCATGGCCTTTTTTTTGGCTACATATTTGTTATTTTTTGCTACATCCCTCCCCATCTTCTTGCCATATGTTTCTATGGCATAAATCAGTGTCTGTGACCTGTTTTCATTTAAAAAAAAGAACATTGGCACAAACCTAGCCTGTATGTATTTTTTGTATGTCATCGAGAGTATTTAAATGATTTTCAATCAAAAAAAAAATTTGCGATTAAAATGCGATTAATCGCGAGTTAACTCAGTCATTGATGCGAATAATCGCGATTAAAAAAATTTAATCGATTGACAGCACTAATATATATATATATATATATATATATATATATATATATATATATATATATATATATATATATATATATAAATATATACAGTACTCGAGTTGTGGGGTGATGGCCTCCCCTCACATACCATCTCCTGTAACATTCCATCACTAAATGTGTACATTTCCATTATATATTAACAGCAAACTCTATTGGCAATAATATTGCCCTTTCAACATTTGGCAGGCTGTGTGCTTACGAGTAGCCTGACCAATTTACTGTGGCCCAGAGGGCACACATGCAATTTGATTTTCGACCTCAGTGGCGCAACTAGTGGAGCAGGTGACGGTATTCTGAACCAAGCGGCAAAGACAACGCTATTTGAGGGACTTAATTTTTAAGAAGGCAAAAACTAACACTTCAGCTCAAGTCAAGAGTCTGAAGACATTACCTTTACAAGCTTACCATTTTGTTGTCAAATTTGTAGAAGTCCTAATCAATCTCCGGACATAGCGATAGCATGGAAAACTAGGCAAACTAGTTTGAAGCGCAAACATTTTTCTGAACATTCAAAATCTGCATTTTGGTTGTGAATCGAACATAAATTAATCTGTAGGCTGCTGCTGTTTTGCTAGGTGACGGCCAGAATCAAGAAGATGTTGGTGAGACAAGTTCGAGCTGTGGCTGAGAGCAGTGGAGGAAACCTCGAGGAGAGAATAGAACATTTGAAAAATGCATTTTAATTAAGCAAATTAAGACACATGTTAAGAATATTATCTTGAAGGAACTGCCAAATGTGATGTAAATGTCTGACCAACGGTCATAAATGAATTGAATGTTGACCTCTGACTGCGTGGTCTCTCGTGTTACTTGCAGAAAGCCTGTCGTCTGATCAATGGTATATTGCTTAATTGGACGGAACTGTTAGAATAGTTTTAACTCATTCATTGCCAGCATGTAGTCTAGCTTACTTTAAATTAGCCAATAGGAGCAATACTAATTTTCTGATAAACAGTCTATTTTATCAAATAAATACTCTAAATGAATAGTTGAAAGGTGAGTAAAATTATTAGGTTTTATATAGGCTTATTTCATTTTCAGGCTAATTTGAATATATGTTAATTTGTAAGCAATTTTTTTTTCAGATTTTGAAAAACTGTTTCAGCTGTTTCTATTTAATTAGTTCAATTTAAATTAAAAAAAAAAATATTTGACTTGAAAGGATTCAGGTATTCATTTGCAATGTTTTGTGAGGTCTTGTTCCAAATCTAAATGTATTCATTTCAAAAAGATTTTCCTAAGTAAAATCAAATGACCCCAGTGGGAAATATGTTTTGTCCCTATAGGGCAGTGACAGACAGCCATGCCAATCATGCCAGATTGCAGTTCTACTGTAAGGTGCCTTGGTCAAGGTCAATGACCGACGTACCTGAGATGTAACAACTATGCCATGCATACTGCTTTAGGTTAATAGACTATTTTAATTAGGCTATGTATGCTTTCAAAAAAGAAATTCCACCATCCCCCTTCTTTTTTTTTTTTACAACTCGACTAATGTATATATGGTGATTTTCCCTTATTAGGGATTAACAAAGTATCCCTCTATCTATAGTTGACTTTAGAAAGCTTCTAAAAAATCATGACATAACACTATCATTTTGTCCTCCTCACAGTTTTAAAATGGAATTAAATATATCTGATATCTGTCCACCTTCTCCTGCAAAAAATAATATATATCTTTACAGATTTTTTTTTCGCACCAGTTTTTTGTTATTCTGATGTTCACGAATACAAGATTGTGCATTATACTCTTACCTTGGAGCTCTCGTCTTGGGAACGCTGGTAGCGTTTCCAGCGGCAACCATAGATCCCAGTAACCAAAGACAGAAAGACCTGCTTCTCATAGACCTGTAACGGTTGGTGTTTCACCATGCTCCTTCAGCCTCAACGCGCCACCAGTCTGTTAACATCCCACTCAGAGCTGGGAACCCTGAAGAAGGCAAGAAGGTTTTAGTGAAGCCTTCAAAAACATCCTTGTTGCTCAACAACTAATTACACTTTCCCCTAGATGCCGTGTCATGTCTTGTTGCTGAGATATGGACACCTTTTTGACCCAACAATGTAAATATGTTTACATAGTTTAGCCTTGTTTGGTGTGACGACACTTCTAATAATAAATCAACAAGCTACTTACTGGTGACTCTTGTCTAGGACAGACATAATGATATGGTTTGTGTTTAGCCAACACTGAGTCAGCCTAAGGCAATCTGCAGACCGTAAAACACAGAAATCAGCAGGTTGGCAATCAAAAGAAAAAAGCTCACTGGGTTCATGACAGCTGCCTTTATATTTACTGGTTTCTGAATTATTTTGGGCATATATAGTAATATTGGTCCTGAGCCACTCTATAGAAGAGCAAGAGATCTCTGCTCTCTTCTCAGAATTATGCAGAGTGTTCTTAAAAAGAAAATGGGGTTTTCAGGGTTTAAACATTATGTTAATGTGTAAGTTTGACATCTCCTTTCATTCGGACGAAACCTGTTTATGATTTCCAGACAGATTAATCAGCTTAAATAGTGTGATTTATATTGGCTTAATTCAAAAACAAGCCGCTAAAGACACAGAGGTGTATAATATGTTTAATCTTATTTAATCCAAACTCAGCTTAGATCACTCCAATTCAATCATACAGATTTTATCCCATTCATCTGGACTCTTTCACAAATATAACACCACGTTGTCAGTTTTAAATGATAATTTAATGTTAAGTATTAAACCATTTTCTATCCCCCATAACACTCACCAATTCAATTTAGTTTTTAACATTGCAGCAATACCTCAACCCGAGGAAGGAACATTTTCTGATAGTCAGATAGTCAGTCTTTGGTGTGAATGTGGATTTATTTTATTTTCAGAAGATGGTGGCAGCTTTATTCTAGAAACGCTTAATCCAAAATAAATGTAACCTATGGGAGAGAAGAAAGAAAGAAAGAAAGAAAGAAAGAAAGAAAGAAAGAAAGAAAGAAAGAAAGAAAGAAAGAAAGAAAGAAAGAAAGAAAGAAAGAAAGAAAGAAAGAAAGAAAGAGACACATTTTTAATTTTAATAATCTCCATCTAAACATTTCCTAAATAAAAAAAACGTTTCTGTCTAGAAAATCTACCAGATTCCATCAATTTCTTATCCTTAAGGAGCAAAAACAGCAGAAACTCCTTTAGTCGCTTCACCTAAAAGAGAAATGCAATTCCAATCTTTTGGGGCAATTTTTGGAGCTGATATTGTTTTCTCATCTTCATTTACATGATAAAACTATGCCGTAACACTTTCTACACATGTCCAGATTTAAAGATCTGCCCCTTAATGTATTATTTTACCTCTAGAACAAACCCATAAATAGCTTGTGATATTCATTGTTCTAACTTGGAAACTGAGTGAACACAAATTAAACTTCTATCTTCCTTTTTAATATCAATTTTCTTTTTTTGAAATCTACTTTAAAGAGGAGACAATTGATAGATTTCTTTAATCATAATATGAGAAGGGCTTTTTGATGTATGAAATTTATCTAATCTCGCCCAAAATCTAGATCTTCCTCATTGATATTGTTGAAAATCTGCTGGAACGAGTAGCCACTTCCTTTCCTGATATGGGCCACTTTCCAGGTTTACCAACAAGCTTTAAACACCAAAATGCTCCTTTGTCCTTATCTCTAACGGGACAGTTGAGCTAAATCTGTCTCTGACTGAATTATTGGACTCCTTCTCTAGAGAAGATGTGGCGGTGTTTACATTTCTGTTGCCAGCATGGGCCCTAAGAAGAATTAATTTAAAACAAGGCTTTATTTTTTGTCAACTCTATAAAGCTTCAAACTCAATGCTATTTCTGTCATTCGGAATTCAAAATCGCTTCCTGGATGGGAAGCAAAATGTTTTCAAACTTGGAAAAATAGTCCAGTGGATTATTTTTTGTTTAACTTTTTTGGAATGACTGTGACCTGGATGACTGACAGTCTTCACCAGCATATTACATCAATACAGAAGGGAAAACTTGGTGTGTTGACAAAACCTTAAAGTATAGAATAGTAGAAAACATGACCAGAGGGACTAAAGATGCATTTGAGTGTTTAACAGTTTAAATATTTGTGGAAAAGTCAAAAAATGTAATTGTTAGTTGTACTGTACATACTGAGCTACTGGTTCCAACTTGGAAATATTTAGAGAATGGTTTGAACAAACAAACACAATTACTTCCCAGAAGGTTTTCTTCATCTGTGGGGACTTTAATATATATCTACTTAACTCAAATAATCATAAACCTACTAAAGAATTCATTAACACCACATACAGTTTGAGCCTTTTTCCCAAAATCACTAGACCCAACAGGATCACACTTCACAGTGTCACATTGATAGTATAGTCACAAAATCTTACTTATATCTTCTATTTAAAAATAAGGATAAAAGTAATCCACACTTTAAAAAAGTAACAACAGAGGAATAACTAAATTCTTTCAAAGAGGACTTATTAAAACATAACTGGGAGTCTGTTTTGCAAGAAGATAATGTCGATATAGCATTATGACAATTTTCTGAATATCTTTTTAAGTATTTTATGATAAAAACTGTCCATTAATAATGTTCTCTCATAAAAACAAATACTCAGAAGCTTCATAGATCACAAAGGGTTTATAAAAATGCCTGCAAAAAAAAAGAGAAAAAACTATAGTGAGAATTCATAAGGAGGTAGAGAACAAATTTCCTGCTATTCTGCGAATAGTTTAACAGGATTATTACAGTAAATTATTAGATAGAAATAAAGATAATATCAAAGGGATTTAGAATATATGGAATAATTTTATTGAGAAATTTCTGCAGTTTTTTGTAAATAACAATAACAACTTTGAGAATATTAATGACGTTGTTCATAATCTCAGTAAATATTTTGTGACTGTGGGACCCAAACTGGCAGAAAAACTCCCAGATCCTACAATAACTGGAGCTCTGAATGAAACATTAATCAGCAGAAATCGTTGTTCAATGTATATCATTGCTGTGAGAGAAAGGGAAATTACAGATATTGTCAATAAATGTAATAACAAGAGATCAACTGACTGTGATGACATTAATATGACTGTTATTAAGAAGGTAATTGATGAATTTTTTATAGGCCTGTTTCACTACTTCCACAGTTTTCCAAAATTTTGGAAAAATTATTTGTGGATAGATTAGATTAAACAGAAACTGCTTTAAGGAAGTCAGTAAGGATTTAGATCACAAAGATATACAGCAACGGCCGTCATTGAATTGATAGAAGAAGTCACTTAACTGACTTAGGTGAGTCACTTAGATAAAAAGAAATCTGCAGTTGGTGTATTTATTGATCACAAGAAGGCTTTTGACACAATAAATCACGAAATATTGATAAAAAAAAATTAGATCATTATGGCATCCAGGGAGTAATACTACTCTGGATGAAATATTATCTAAGCAACAGGCAACAATTTGCGCAAACGGGTGACTGCCAGTCATCGTGCTCGTAAATTGTTTGTGATGTCCCCCAGGGGTCAGTATTGGGGCCAAAATGATTTATTCTTTATATTAATGACATCTGCAAAGTTTCTAGAATGCCTAAATTTGATTTGTTTGCAGACATTACTAACATCATTTGTACAGATGGTAATTTGGATCAGCTTATGGCTGATATCAATCTTGAGTTATGTCGAGTTAAGACAAGTTTGATATTAACAAACTATCATTATCAGGCTTGCAGCGGTGACTTAACACCTGATGAAGACCCTCGAACAGTTGGTCTTTCACCATCTACCCCTCCTGGTGAAGACTTCATCAGATCCACTGCAGTTTGCCTACCATCCTGGGATTGGGGCAGATGATGCGATTATCTTCCTGGCTCACCTAGAGAAACCTGAAAGCACTGTGAGGACCATGTTCTCCCACAGAGAACAGTCTTGCACCATCCCTCTACACTGCAGACTTCCTTATCAATTCCCATCTCTGACACTTCTAGAAGTTCTCTGGCGATTCTGCCATAGTTGGCCTCATCACAGGTATCGACGACTCAGAATTCAGACAGTGGACCCAGAACTTTGTGGTCTGGTGCCAGCAGAACCACCTTCTAATTAATGCAGGGAAAACCAAGGAGCTAGTGGTGGACTTTCGCAGAAGCAGATCCATTCCACTGACACCGTTGAACATAGTGGACTCTTATAAGTACCTAGGTGTTCATTTGAATAGCAAACTGGACTGGACTCACAACACTTAGCCACTGTATAAGAAAGCAGAGCAGACTCTTCCTGCTGAGGAGACTGAGGTCTTTTGGAGTGCAGGGGATGCTTCTAAAGACCTTCTATGACTCTGTTGTTGCATCAGCCATCTTCTATGGAGCTGTATGTTGGAGCGGTGGTTATCTGTAGCTGAGAGAAAGCAACTGTATAAGCTGATCAGGAAGGCCAGCTCTGTGATTGGACGCCCTCTGAACTCAGTGCAAGAGGTGAGAAACAAAAGGATCCTAACTAAATTAATATCTCTGTTGGATGTTTTCCACCCCATGCATGATGCTGTTTCAGAACTGGAGAGCTCCTTCAGTGACAGACTGCTGCACCCTAAATGCACCAGGGAGCGTTATCACAGATCCTTCCTCCCAGCAGCTGTAAGACTCTATAACCACCACTGTTCCCAACAACCTCAATAAGTTGCTACATTAATGCGGTTTTGCAAAGTTTCTTTTAACTTTTAGTTCTTTATTATAATTGTATTCTTATACATTTATCTAAGGTCCTTAATTGGCTGACCATTTGTTTTCTATAATCTTTTTGCTGTTGAAAACACCAGAATTTCCCCTTCGATGACAATAAAGATATTTTCTTTTCTATTCTAAATTTGGATAAAACTAAGTTTATGTTGTCTGAAAACCTCAAAAGTAAAACAAATTTATGTATCCTAATAGATAATGTGACAGTAGACATTGTATAGATATTGTCTATAATCAATATCCTTTTTTCATAATTAGTATAAAATTTTTTAGTTTTAAAGCCTGGTGGAGCTTGGAAAAATAAAATAATCAAATCATATCTAAGTTGTATCTTGGAAGTTGTTATGAATATAAGTAATTGTATCAGATGTGCAGATGATGTTGCATCATATCGATCATAGACTTATCAATTAAATGTAAATCGGAATGTGAAAGACCTTTTGATGTTTGCAAACATCTTATCATCATCCAAACAAATTGATAAAAAAATTTTATCTTGCTAAATCGGTTTATTTACACCAATATTCTTCATTTAATAGTTGCTTATTAAATTATGTTTTATAAAGAAAACTGTCATCTGATTAGATGGAGAAGTTAATACACATCAGAATAATCTCATTTTACAAAAGAAGAGCAGATAAATAAAATTACAAACCTTTCCAAAGCTTTAGCTCTATAATACATCATGTCTCAATGAAAAAGGACAATTAAAACTTAGATAAACACTAGATAAACTCATCTTTTGGATTCTGGATTTATGATCTGTTCAGGTCCTGCTGCAGTAGAGCATCCCAAAACCATTTCGCTTCCAATGTTCTCCAAACATTGAGCTAATATTCAAAAGATGTCCAGGTGTCTGTCTCACTTATAAAAAATTGCTTAGTATTTATAGTAAAACTGCCTGTACTTGCTCTCAATCTGCAGGTTTGCTAGTGGTACCTAGAAGGGAGGCAGATCTTTTAGTTATCAGGCTCTTCCGCTGTGGAACCAATAACAGTTTCAGTCCGTGAGGCAGAAACTCTGTCTACTTTTAAGGGTAGGCCTAAAACTTTCCTTTTTGATAAAGCTTAGAGTTAGAGTGGCTCAGGTTATCCAGTACCATCTCTATAGTTATGCTGCTATAGGCTTAGACTGCCGGAGGACATAGGGACCCCTTTTCCATCTGGTCTGTTCCTGTTTGGCTGTGACTCCTTCCTGTAGAGAAATATCAACTGTGCTGCTGCCATCAACACCTTTGTTTCTATATGTTGGCGCTTGGCCTGTTTTTCAGTGTAGTCCTGTTTCTCTGACTGTGACTAACTGAATGTGCTCTCTTTCATCCTGTGAAAAATAGCAACAAGGTGTGATCACTTTGGTGTTGAAGTCATTGCTTTCTTGCAGCAGGTATTAATAATAACTCCTGCTTAAGCTGGACAAGACTGCTTTTCATTAGTGACTCTATATCTACACAAAGGAAACAGTGGGAGCCTTCAAGCAGGAAACAAAGGCAATGAGATTACCAGCTGCCAAGGTGATCATATGCTCACAGGACAAGAGAAAACCTTTCCAAGTTAAGGTGCAGATTTGCATGCAATGAATCCTACCACCAAAGCAGCTCATGTGCAGCCAGAGACTCAGACAAATACAGGCTTTGATGATAATGTCATTCTTGCAATACTGGTTGATAATGTCTTCAAATAAAGTTTGCATTTAGTATTTGTTGAGCAAAGGAAATAATTTAAATGGATTATCTTCCACAGACCTGCTGGTAGAAGACGACACACTGCAAATCTTTAACAATGAATTAAAATGAGTTTCTACAAAATGTAAATGTAGAGAAAGGATGAGTTTAAAAAAAAAGGTTGCCTCAGGTCACCTGGTAATATTGAAACTGATAAACTTTAAAGTGTGAGTTCTGCATTTAGTTACTTTGGTTTATCTGATGGATAAGTTTTCACCTTCTGTCCCTCTCCTTTTTAATTTATTTTAGTTTTTTCTAAGGTAGCTGTTTGTTCATAAAAAGGCAAAATAAACTGGTTTCTCCACCACATGTTAAATTAAGTCAACAGTTATTACTGCAGATTAACAATCTTGCTTGGACAATATATGAATTACACTAAGGCTGTGTTTAATATTATAATTATAACTTAAGAAACAAAGTTAAACTGCAGGAGGACATATCAGTCAACCTAAGCTCAGAATGATCCCTCTCCAGGCCAAGGCACAGATTATATGAAGATAATCCAATAAAGTGCGCACAAACACTCACCTTGTCTCCTTCAGCTCTTTGGGGCTGAACAACTAGAAACTCTGCATTTATTCCCAAAGACCTTTACATCTCTCTCCGCACACAAAAGATCAGAAAGGAGGATGGAGCAGAACCAGCGGTCCAGATATGTCTTCAGAACAACCGGCAGAACCAGAACCTGTTGCTGTGCAGCAGGAGTTACCAAAGTGGACTCCCTACCTGAGCTTGCATGGTTGGGCTGTGTTTATAATCCGTGTGTGACATGGTGTGGGAGGAGTTCAGAATTACACTGTAAAAAGAAGCTCCCAGCCTCAGCATAGACTGAAGGACAGAGGCTCTCCACCCAGGCCGGCATTACTATTGGACAAATGTTAAAACTGAGAGTAAAATGGAGAAAAATATGCAGTATAGCAATGCATGATATATCAGCATTTATATAATTTCTATAAGTTAAACTGGCTCCATATGAATAAGGATTAGAACAAGCAATATTTCATGTAGTTGTTATTTTTGATTTATAATGGGAAGGAGATCAGTTATGTGGTATTTGGTCATGTGACAGTTATGGAGATGAAGTTTAGGATTATGGGGGTTGAAATACACTATATTGCCAAAAGTATTTGCTCACCTGCCTTGACTCACATATGAGCTTAAGTGACATCCCGTTCCTAATCCATAGGGTTCAATATGACGTCGGTCCACCCTTTGCAGCTAGAACAGCTTCAACTCTTCTGGGAAGGCTGTCCACAAGGTTTAGGAGTGTGTTTATGGGAATTTTTGACCATTCTTCCAGAAGCGCATTTGTGAGGTCGCACACTGATGTTGGACGAGAAGGCCTGGCTCTCAGTCTCCGCTCTAATTCATCCCAAAGGTGTTCTATCGGGTTGAGGTCAGGACTCTGTGCAGGCCAGTCAAGTTCATCCACACCAGACTCTGTCATCCATGTCTTTATGGACCTTGCTTTGTGCACTGGTGCACAGTCATGTTGGAAGAGGAAGGGGCCAGCTCCAAACTGTTCCCACAAAGTTGGGAGCATGGAATTGTCCAAAATGTCTTGGTATGCTGAAGCATTCAGAGTTCCTTTCACTGGAACTAAGGGGCCAAGCCCAGCTCCTGAAAAACAACCCCACACCATAATCCCCCCTCCACCAAACTTTACACTTGGCACAATGCAGTCAGACAAGTACCGTTCTCCTGGCAACCGCCAAACCCAGACCCGTCCATCAGATTGCCAGATGGAGAAGCGCGATTCGTCACTCCAGAGAACGCGTCTCCACTGCTCTAGAGTCCAGTGGCGGCGTGCTTTACACCACCGCATCCGACGCTTTGCATTGCACTTGGTGATGTATGGCTTGGATGCAGCTGCTCGACCATGGAAACCCATTCCATGAAGCTCTCTGCGCACTGTTCTTGAGCTAATCTGAAGGCCACATGAAGTTTGGAGGTCTGTAGTGATTGACTCTGCAGAAAGTTGGCGACCTCTTCGCACTATGCGCGTCAGCATCCGCTGACCCCGCTCCGTCAGTTTACGTGGCCTACCACTTCGTGGCTGAGTTGCTGTCGTTCCCAAACACTTCCATTTTCTTATAATACAGCTGACAGTTGACTGTGGAATATTTAGGAGCGAGGAAATTTCACGACTGGATTTGTTGCACAGGTGGCATCCTATCACAGTTCCACGCTGGAATTCACTGAGCTCCTGAGAGCGACCCATTCTTTCACAAATGTTTGTAAAAACAGTCTGCATGCCTAGGTGCTTGAATTTATACACCTGTGGCCATGGAAGTGATTGGAACACCTGATTCCAATAATTTGGATGGGTGAGCAAATACTTTTGGCAATATAGTGTATCAGTAGTCTGTTTGGTTTTCATGGTGACGAAGGGTAAGGGAATTTAAAATATTTGGTATGTATTATTTCATTTGGATTGGAAATGCAAAGCAGTGCAATGCAAAAATTTATGAATAACTTATTTTATGGAGCAGGGATTCTTGGATCCTTTCATCCATCCATCCATTTTCTTCCACCTTATACGGTGCCGGGTCGCGGAGGCAGCAATCTATCTGACTGGACAAAAAACTACCCTTCTGAAATGTTTTTTGTTTTTATTATTTTTTTAGTCTTTGGCCCAGAATATTATTTATGAATTTAAAATTCTATCAAACCCAAAGTCTATATTGTTGTAATTTTGCTCCATAAGACTTGTAGCTCCGCATCCATTCATGATGCCCTGGTGAAGGGCCAGTACAGGTAACTGACCTGAAAATACGTAAAATATTCTAAAAAAAACTATTTTCCCAGATCTAAACAGGAGAATAAAATGATCCATCAGTGGAATGAGAGGTTTTAAACCTTAAAAAAAGATTATTATATATTATGCACTTGAAATTAAATGGTGTGGGTATGGTGGACTAGAATGCTACTCTAGCTCCCTGAGCAAAGACCCTTAACCCCACACTTCTTTCCAGGTACCGCACAATGGCAGTCCACTCCTCCCCAAGGGGATGGGTTAAATGCAGAGGTTGAATTTCACCAGTGTGAGACAATAAAAGGATTTACATGAACATTTTGTAAATCTTGGATCATATGCAAATTGTCAAATATACCCAATAAATTTTAAGATATTCTGGATTCTTCTGCTTTATATTGGTGGATTTGAAATGGTTATTTATTCAAGTGACACCAACTCAATTCTGTTCAGTTTATTTCTATAGCGCCAATTTACATCATTGCATTTCAGATCTCTTTAAGGAGACAATTCAACCAGATCATCCAGTCAGATTTATTCAAAGTTTTCTATCTTTGGAAAACCAATTCATTGCATCGACTCATTGACTCTTCAGCAACTCTTCCCTCACACCAGGCAGGCATGTAGCGACAGTTGAGTGGGAAACTCCCTTTGAACAGGAAGAAACCTCCAGCAGACCCAGAACCAGGCTCAGTGTGAGCGGCCATCTGCTGAGGCGACTGGGGTTCTAGGTGACAGAAGCAGACATAGAAAAAGAAGCAGAGATACAAAAGGCAACTGTCAACCAGCTCCACAGGACTACACTGACTGTGTACTCACGAATGTGGCATTGCTGCTAGGGCTGGGTGATATGGCTAAAAAATAAAATCTAGATTTTTTAGACATCTTGGATGATTACAATTTAATTTGATTTTAAGTGAAGTGTTAAAAACTACATGCATGTATTTTAAAATAGTTTGACTTTATTCAAAAATATATTGTGCAAAGAAACAAATAGTTAGCCAACAATAAATGTATTGTAAAAAAAAATGTAAACTTAAGTATTCATAACATAAATCTTGTGCAAGTAACACAAATGTTCACCCAACAATAATTGTACTGATTTTTTTTTTATCAGTAAAAAATGTACACCTTTATATTCAATACAAGTGCGAGAAAAAAGCTTAATTTGCTGATATACACTCACCGGCCATTTTATTAGGTACACCTGTCCAACTGCTCGTTAACACTTAATTTCTAAGCAGCCAATCACATGGCGGCAACTCAGTGCATTTAGGCATGTAGACATGGTCAAGACAATCTCCTGCAGTTCAAACCGAGCATCAGTATGGGGAAGAAAGGTGATTTGAGTGACTTTGAACGTGGCATGATTGTTAGTGCCAGAAGGGCTGGTCTGAGTATTTCAGAAACTGCTGATCTACTGGGATTTTCACGCACAACCACCTCTAGGGTTTACTGAGAATGGTCCGAAAAAGAAAAAACATCCAGTGAGCGGCAGTTCTGTGGGCGGAAATGCCTTGTTGATGCCAGAGGTCAGAGGAGAATGGCCAGACTGGTTCGAGCTGATAGAAGGGCAACAGTGACTCAAATAACCACCCATTACAACCAAGGTGGGCAGAAGAGCATCTCTGAACGCACAGTAAGTCGAACTTTGAGGCAGATGGGCTACAGCAGCAGAAGACCACACCGGGTGCCACTCCTTTCAGCTAAGAACAGGAAACTGAGGCTACAATTTGCACAAGCTCATCGAAATTGGACAATAGAAGATTGGAAAAACGTTGCCTGGTCTGATGAATCTCGATTTCTGCTGCGACATTCGGATGGTAGGGTCAGAATTTGGCGTCTACAACATGAAAGCATGGATCCATCCTGCCTTGTATCAACGGTTCAGGCTGGTGGTGGTGGTGTTATGGTGTGGGGAATGTTTTCTTGGCACTCTTTGGGCCCCTTGGTACAAATTGAGCATCGTGGCAACGCCACAGCCTACCTGAGTATTGTTGCTGACCATGTCCATCCCTGTATGACCACAATGTACCCAACTTCTGATGGCTACTTTCAGCAGGATAATGCGCCATGTCATAAAGCTGGAATCATCTCAGACTGGTTTCTTGAACATGACAATGAGTTCACTGTACTCAAATGGCCTTCACAGTCACCAGATCTCAATCCAATAGAGCATCTTTGGGATGTGGTGGAACGGGAGATTTGCATCATGGATGTGCAGCCGACAAATCTGCGGCAACTGTGTGATGCCATCATGTCAAAATGGACCAAACTCCCTGAGGAATGCTTCCAGCACCTTGTTGAGTCTATGCAACCAAGAATTGAGGCAGTTCTGAAGGCAAAAGGGGGTCCAACCCGTTACTAGCATGGGGTACCTAATAAAGTGGCCGGTGAGTGTATATATCTTATCAAACAGTCAATGACTTGTATTGATCTTCTGGCAAGTAGGTGGTTTGTAAGCAGCAGCTGTTGGGAGCCCAGTTCATGTTGATATAATGCAGTTAAAGTCATGAATGGCTGAAAAGATCAACTGGACCAAAGGTCTGTAGTAGTTGCAAATAACAAAGCCCAGTCCAACTTTTTTGGTGAGAGGAACCTCAGCAAAGTATTTGCGACTCGGCGGGTCATATTTTGGATCACACACTTTTAGCATGTGTAGAAAGCCGGGCATATCTACAGTGTCAATGGGCACCATGTCCATCCCTATATGAACAGCTACAGCGTCGGTCATCTGCTTCCACACTACACCTATCGGTCGGCAACGCTTTAGAAAATGAGGTGGCCAGGGTTTGTGGTCTTTTCATGTCGTGGTCGTGTTTGTCTTTGCCCGTGCTACCAACGCTGCACTCCAAAAGCAGTGAGCGCTGCTCCCATTCTGTGGGGGGCTTTTGCAGGACATGCTGAAACAAGTAAGTTGCACACTACTGTAGTCTGCTCCACATTGGCCTTGTCATAGCTGAACTACTTCCACATAATCGACGAAAC